TGCTCTAACCACTTGAGCTATCGTGACTTCGATCCACTCGGACACCAACTCCCAATCTCAACCTACCTTTCCAATTTTCCCTCCTTTTTGCCATTTTTCAATCGGACCACGAAATATAATGGGGTTATTTTAACTGTTCTTTTTATTCTTTACATGCACACTACAGGCAAAACACCAAAAGTACTTAAATAGGCTTTAAATATTTTTTATTCTTTCCTCCTACGGCCCACCGGTGAGAACGCTCGGACCCGTGTCTAATATTTTTTGACATGGTATCACCAAAAAAAGTGTCATTTATATCAGTGTTTGTACGTCCGCTTGTTGAATTGCTCTTAGTTTTCCCTTAATTTTTTAAAACGGAAAAAATTCCAATGCCTTTTTCAAAGCCGATTAGGAAACAAGAGAAATTTTTATTATTTTTCTCACTCGTTTAAAACCAATGAGTAAGTATTTAATTTACTGTCGACATTTTAGTTGATAATCTTAAACTATTGTCAGGAACGGAAGTTGAAGGAGAAGAATGTTCGATGTCAACTTGTCAAAGGGGCGGTGTGATAAATCGAAACGCTCCTATCCGTCTAAGAGCGCAATATTGTCTTTAGGGTCGTATGAGTGGTCAACAGACACCAAACGCCCTCGGCTGGTGTCTTTCCAATAAAGCCTCACGCGACAGGTCATTTTTTAAAATGTCACCACACCTTAAGTGCCACTTTGAGAGAATGTCAGCACGGATGCAATTACTTGTGGAACTCGCTAAAAGAAGGAAGCTAGAAAAAGCTGCACACAGAAAGAGGGCTTCAAGAGGAATAACGCACCGACGAGGGAATGCGACAACTTTTGTCATTATGTCCTCTCCTAGAAACAACCTTTCGTATGTTGTGACTCGCATAGAAATACATCTAATCGATAGAATATTTGAGATCACTAAACTCGCCTGTCCTACATACTTTTTAAATATAATTGTTTATTAATATTTCATTATTATTTTACTATTTGTTGTATTAAATAAGTGAAATATTTTTTGTTTGTTTTTTCTACTCCCTCACGACACAAGGATGTTCTAACATGAATTCCCACAATACATAATTCATACGATACGGAGAAAGAGAGAAACAACCTGCTCTTCAGTGAATAGTGAAATCAATAAAAGACGCATATTTTTTAGGTCAAACAAAAATCTACACTTGGTGCAACTTGAATAGCAAACTTCTCATTCAAGTCATCCTCACTGAGCAATCCCTAGTGCGATCTTGAAACTGGGTTTATGGAGGCGGCGTTAGTGGCCGCAACGGTTTAGGCGTTGACACTGTAAGGTAAAGGTCCTGGGTTCGAATCCAGCGGTTCTACATACAAACCCGGCATACTTACAAATGGGCTTTTTTTTTCAAGAACACCGGAACCCTGAGGGTTGATATGACCTCTGCGAACCCTCGTTAAAAAAAATATATATATATATGTATGTAAATATAAACGTGCATATATACTCTAAGTGTGAAATAAAAGAATCAGAATATTACATAATATGACACTCAGTANCATTTGAGGACCGATGTTTAAAAGAAAATAAATATAACAACCCCAAAAATATAATAGCTTTGGTTGTATATTGTATATATATATATATGAGAGAGAGAGAGAGAGGATGGGAGGGAGGTATATATACCCTCTAACAACTAAAGTGACCTTTTAATCTTTTACGAATTTTTTTTCGTAATGCACGTCAACAATCTTTTTAAATACCCAAGAACATTGTATGGTTGAAGTTTGTTTAACGGGGATCTCTGAATAGATAATGGATCGTGAACGCGAAATCGCAGAAATGCATTATGTAGGAGAGCGAGCCCATTGATCTCTCTTTTTAGACCGGGACAGCTAGGCTGTGGCTTCTTTTTTTCTTAATGTCGCCCAAACTGCGTATTCAGGCCAGCCTTTTGCGGAAGTACCCCGATGTCACGAACAGTGCTAAGATTGATATGACGGAAGTCTTCCTTCTATGAAAAGAGTGATGTCATCATCCGGCTAATTAGAATGAGGATAGACGGCTTCTCTGGCCCTCCTGTTAAGCTACTTTTCGTAATTACTCAACAATATAATTCTAGCCCCGGTGTAAACATTTCACGAGCAAAGATGTAAGCCGTGGAAATTAATCTTATCTTAAGTGAAATTGTTTGTAGTATTAAAACAAAGGGAGTTTTCTTTAAGTATAAAATCATCGATAGATCACCACCTAAATCAACCAAACCATTAAGTGATTATTAGTAAAAACAAACAAACACGCGCAACACGCAAATAAGTTTTGTCAACACAGAAAACACGACATATAAAATTTCTTCAATTTTTGTGCACTGGACAACGTATTTGTTTCTTGGCTGTTTATTATTGCTGGAAACGGGAGGATTAGGTGATTCTTAGTCAGCCCTAACTAGCTATGATGTACCTTCTTATGAACTAGCTAGCTAATTGTGTGAATTGTTTCCAGATTACGTCTTTAACATTTTATAGCAAATGAAAAAGTATGTACTTAATTTATAAAAGCTTTGTCCAAGTTCTTGGACATCTCGGCTTCTAATTTCGGGTCAATTTGAACTTTTGAAGGTGGCAACGTTCCGCCGAACAACGGCGTCCGACACTTCATGATATGGGCAATGACAACAAGGGCTAGTGCGGCGTATAAACTGCAACGCGAAGCGATGCGGAAGGAGTAGCAGATTTCAGTGAAATGGGATCACGGTACGGCGTGCGATGCAAAAATCCAGGGGAACCCTTTGTAAAATTTTAAATTGCCACATAAACTGCAAGCTGATCGCGCGGTATCGAACGGCGCTCTTCTCCCCTCGTGGTTAAACAGGTCGCAACTGATCCGTGCAAAGTCAACGGAAGTTCCTTTCTTTGCGATTTCAGCTTCTATTAACGCGTTATAACACGGCTCCGCTCTCCTTGACAGGTCGCACTCTGATCCATGCAAACTCAATCACATGAGGTTCCCGAGAACTCTTCGTCACAAGACAAGAGGATCTTTAACGTCCGAACCTGGCCTATTCGGCCTTATCACAACAATGCAAAGCATACTCGAGTCAGAGAAACCGATTCACTACCCATTTCCGTTCGCTTACTCACGCATTCGAGGGACTATTCAGCATAATCATCGCGTCCTCAACGCCTATACGCTATCGTTCGGTCTACAGTCTCCCGTGAGGCCGGGGGTAATAACGCTGGCCATACGCAAGCTTCACGAAGGTCACAAGTAGAAGACAGCCTCAGTCTAAGTTCCCGCCATGGGCGTCACCACGTGCCACCACGAAACCATTCCCAGTGGGCTGATTTTGGAACTTTTCAGTTACCCCGTGGTACAGATGGCCATACACCCTCCCCCGTCTGTGCAGACAGGATCTGGTGCACTGGCCCTCGTGTGACTCTGCTAAGGCACCCGCCGCCCATGCCGACCCTAGGCCGACACGAGTACAGCTTGAGCTTTAGAGAGGTTGCCACGCCCTCTGGGCTACCACTTTATTTTCTGCCCGGATACCCCCCTTGTAACCAAGGATTGGGAGGGGTCACAGGATAGAATGAAGGAACTCCGATTGAGAAAAGGGGCCGTGGATGAGAGCACGAGGTGAGCCGTTTCGAGGTCTCGAGCCTCCCAACCACACTATATCACCCGTCGTTGCCGTAGTTCCACACATAGTGGGATACGACTCCCAGGGTGGGTAAACTCAATGACAGCTCCTTTCTTTGTAATTTCAGCTTCTACTAGTGCTATATAACACGGTTCCGGCATCACTGTGAACCTCTCGCAATATAAAGATGTGGCACGCTGATCCATTGCATAGTCAATGGTACCTCTTTTCTATGCAATTTCAGCTTCCACTAGTGCGATATAACACGGTTCCGCTCTCCTTGACAGATCGCACGCTGATCCATGCAGAGTCAATGAAAGGTCCTTTCTTTGCAATTTCAGCATCTACTAGCGAATTATCGCACGGCATCACTGTGGACCCTTCGGAATATAAAAATGTCGCAAGCTGATCCATTGCATAGTCAATGGAAGCTCCTTTCTTTGTCATTTCAGTTTCTACTCGCGCGATATAACACGGCTCCTCTCGCAGTGAAAACACGATTATTCATGCAAAGTCAATGTCAGTTCATTTATTTTCGCAGGCAGAATGGACAAAGGCAAAGTTAGAAGTCCTTCATGGGTTGGAATTCCAGTCCAGAGGTTTTCCTTCAGATTTTATTTATTTCGATCCATGGCCCACTTTGTTCAAAGGGAAAAATCTAAGAACTGGAGAAATTGAAAGTTGCAAGTTATTCGGAAGCCACCTCAAATAATTGTGCATATTTTTACTATATTTTGTATATTAATTTTGACATGAAAAACGGTCCTTTTTTATGCACCGTTGATATTTATATTTGGCTTTTGTTCACCCACACACACACACACACACACACACACACACACTCCCATCAAATTAAAATTAGTTCTTCACTGATTGTTTTTAATAGACATTGAGAATTATGGTCGTGACATCCACCACGGTCTGGTCTCCGTGAGTCAGTGACCGTAATCGACATAACTATAAATTTCTCTTCTCCAAAACTGTTCTACGTAGGTTTTATTTTAAAAATGGTCACCACGGCCGTTTCATGGTAAATAGGACGGAAATTATGAAATACTGTTTAAAACGAACAATGAGTTACACAGGCAAAAAATTGTTTTCTTTAACGTTTCATCTGGGCGTAATTTGGATCCTAACATCCTTTTAGAAAAGGTAAACAGCTCGCAATAATAAACAAACCATCAAGCCGACCGATCTGGAGCGTGTAAACAAAGAGGATACCTTCATAAGTCCATTTCAGTTTTGACGCTAAAATAAAAGATGTAATTTAACATCTATGTCATAATTTAAATAGATATAATATTTTTATTAGCATGGAATTGAAACTTATTTGATTTATTATTACCACTTTCATTTTAAAAGTGTTTTATCTCTTTTTTTTAGAATTTTGGGAGATAACAAATTGGAAAAAATCCACCCTAAGGCCTTCGCATCAGTACCAAGATTAAAAAGACTGTAAGTACGATTTTTTTTCACTGAATTATATTTTAGATGTTCAGGAAAATATTGTCAAAATGCTTAATATTAAACGGTGAGATGTTAATGAGCCTTGGGATAGCAGATGACCTCCCATTGACCGTTGCTCTACATCGTAAAGACAATGAAAAGTTACATTTTTTATCATCAGGTTTTGACATTAGACAATAGAGTACATTAATTTTGGTCATGAGATTGTATTTCGAACATGCCACGTATCACTTTTTGATAAAAATCCCAACATGCTGCACACCCTATTTAAAATCGCAAAGTATTCTTTTTCTATTTCTGGTTACAACACCTGGTTCTGTAATAAATTTAATTTCTGATCATATAAGAAGGAACGTGGAAGAGTATCTTAAAAGAAACGTTTTGTTTACTGCACGGATCCCTGGTGGTAAAGGCTGCCGGCCTACGATACAATGCCATACCGCGCGATTACAAGCTGAAATCGTACAGAAAGTAGCTGACGTTTCAAGGATCGGTGTGCAAGCTATTTACACTTCCCGCTATAGAGAGCGATATCGCGCTATTAGGAGATAAAATCGCAAAGAAGGTAGCTGCCATTAACTTTGCATGGAACATTGTGCGACATTTTTACACTTCTCGCTATACAGTGCGATATCGCGTGGTGAGCTTGATGGACACACAAATCTTTTGTGCTTCATGCAATCTGACCGAGCTTTTTTTATCTTAACTCTATAAAATAATAATTATTAATGTTTGTAACAGCACAGTTCCCTACATCCTCATATTCTATCTCTATACTTGAATTATAAAGAAATAAATATAAAAATTATATTACAAATAAAATTAACTTTTTAAATATTGCGCTGAAAACATTGCTACTTAATTGTGACCTATAAATTCTAGTTAGTTCAGGCTAGACTTTCTTGGCTTTGCTTTACTCTGTCCTAGGTTGTTTTCAACATTGTGCCCGGCAACCTGAAAAGTGAACCTCGCGTTCTCGGGCATTCCTTTTCTCAAACATTTTCCTACGGCATATTTCCTGTGGTCATCTCCTAACCCTTGGATGCCAAGGAGGTTTCCATACTCAAAATAATAATGTAGCTTTGGACGTACTCTCTAAAGTATAAGCTGATTCGTGTTTCCCTGTGCGTATGATCTCCGTAAACACCCTCCGCGTGTACATGGAAGATCGGACAAGGAAGCGTAGAGTCCCATGAATACTAGCAGGGTTTGTTGGCATTTGTGTCAGCCAAGGACGGCAGGAGCTCGATCAGTAGCACAGAGGGGTTAGGGAACCAGATCCAGTCTGCAAAGAAGGGGAATGGTGTATGACCAACTGAACTACCGAACTGAAGAGTTAGGGATGGTTAGGATCCCGTTCCAGCGGCCTTTTGCCCACTAGTGGCGCCACTGTTAGGGTGTCTTAGGAGACTGAACAAAAAAAGGACGAAGCCCCCCGCTCGTTCGATGAAGGAGAGATGTAGATAGATCATTCTCTCGGAGTTAACTCGGAATAATCGATAGGGACGGTTGGTTCCTGGGGTCGAGCGGGTGTAACCTGAAAAGGTGAGCTTGCGAAGCCTGGGAACAACCGGGCCAGGAGACGGCACAATGTGAGAACTATGCTATTGCAGCAGGCCGTAGAAGAGGGGTATGCCTAGTGTGGTGCTTAGCAACTACGAGGTGCCCTTAGTAGGATTCTTGTTCGAAAAAACGGCAAGAGGCCTATAGAGCGGAGATGGAACCAGGAATGGGTGGTTGGTCTCCGGGGCGGAGCGGGCATATCCTGAATAGGTGAGCTTGGCGAGGTGATTGTCTCTTGGAGGATCTCGATGATCTGAAGAGAAGTGGATCATTCTCGCCGAGTTAAAATATGGAGAAGGGTAACATTAAACGAGCAGGTGAGATGTGTGTGAGGGCAAGCGCATCTCGAAAAGTTTCCATTTTTTCTCAATCCAATTCCTGGGACTGTGCAGTGGGTTCTCGTACGAGACTCCAGCAGACCCTTCCTAACAGGGGGGTTTCCAGGCACAAAATAATGATGCAGCCTTGAGAACGTGACTCACTCTCTAAAACACAAGCCGTCTCGTGTTTCCTGGCGCGCATGGTCGCCTTAAGCAGCCTCTGCATGGACGATAGAACCAAGGACCGTATAGCGTGCGAGGATGCTAAGGAAACGCCTATCTCGTCCCTCGAAATGCGTTAAGGGAGTTGCTAGCTTGAGAGCTGGCCGCGAACGGCGGGTTCTGCATCAGAGGCACACGCGGGTTAGGTACCAGATCCTGTCTATACATATTCTTTCATCTAGACTACGCTGACAGAGTCCCTCGAATGCGTGAGGAAAGGTGGGCGGTGGCCGATGTTTTTCGGTGGTGGCCGTCTGGGCTCCCTTTACCGAAGGGTTGGTCTCCTATAGGGGGTGGAATTCCACTAAAATCGAAACCGCGGCCAGAGCGCATCCGGAGGTTTCGACGCTGGCGGAGCCCCTACACCCAGGGAGATAGAGTTGTTTTCTCTATCTAGGGAATACGTGGGAGACTTGGTCGATGCCTTTCGACCTTTGGGTATCCCTTTACGCGCGGCACACGGTTGAATGCACAATGCACTCACCCCCTCGAAGAGGCAAGCGGGAGAAGTCGACATGTCGGCAGCATGCTGCAGGATGATGTGGGCTTCTACACCGTACCTCACGGAAGAAGCTGATTTTCCGTGAGCGGAGGTGAGTCGCTCCTAATTTGCGAATCTAAACGTGTGATAAGGCCTATGTACCAGGTGCGCACGTTAAAGAACCTCAATGTTAAATGACATTGCGACCCCAGTGGGAAACAAATGAACTGAAGAGTGTTCCAAGTTCCAAGTCCAGTACGTGCTACGTAGGAATGGAATCGTAGTTGGTAGGTGGTAAGACCCTGGCGAGTACTTAGAGAATAAGCCTGTTGTGGTACCTGCATAGGCTTCCTTTACTGAAGCTAGTGTTCCTCTAGGGGATGGTTAAAAATTCCTTTATAAACGAAACCGCGGCAGAGTGGATCCGGTAGTTCCGACGCTGGTGGGACCCCTACACTCAGGGAGATGAGATGCCTTCTCTAACTAGACAGTATAGCACGATTATCATTTCAGCACCAAGTGAAAGGTTTTCCAATAGCTATGCGGCACACTGTCGGGTGGATAGATGTGGGCAGATGTTGACCCACTCCCTACGGACGGAGCAAGCGGGAAAAATCACTATAGTCTGTGGATCTGTCTTCTACACCAAACCTCACACTGACCACATGAGAATCTGAACGTATGATAAGGCCATGTGCCAAGTGCGCACGTTAAAGAACCTCAGTGTCCTTCTGATGACATTGCGACCAAATGGGAAGAATATGTCCTGGGTGTTGTATCCACCAAGTATGAATCTTAACCTTGGTCTATTCGGCGATTGTTCTTTTTCCCCATGGTCCCTGGGCCTAGGAGTGTTCTTCACTGCCCGTATTTTTGCGTCGCACGCCATAAAACCACTCAATCACGTCGCCTGCAGTGTAAATGCTCTGTAACGATTATAGATCCATGTTTCGTTGTTGTTAACACCCCTGTAAGAGCTTAGTTTGTTACCCAGTATCTCTTCTAATCCAGGAAATAATCCATTATGCTAAACCGTAATACCACTGGTAGGTCCGACTTTGTGAAGGGATTAGAAATCATAAATCTGAGGCAAGATTAATGAGACGAGCTCGCCTTTTGAAGGGCGCGCTTTAAATAAGCCATTTGCAGCCCAAACCTGAATATCTCTCTTGTATTGACGTTTTCGGGTAAACCTGGAAGGAGTGCGGTTAGGCTAACGGCTTTAACTTTTTATGACCCTTTTATATAACTTGGCCGAGTTGAGAAGAAGAGGCTGTATTATCGAAAAATAGGATATTGATGAACTATCTCCAGCACAACGTCCCACTTAGCATAGATTTAACGGCGGTTCTAAATTTCACCCTCGGAAAACAACTGCGTCGGAGCCAATTTTGGATCTGGATCGATTATTATGTGGGCTAAGTTTACGGTTATGTGTCGAATAAACAGGAAAAAGTACTAAACAAAAATTAACAAGCCTTTCTGATAAAACCTCGGCTTTCTCCGTGTTATTGTGGGGAAAAAAACATGAAAAGTAACTTAAAAAATTACTCGTTAATTAGAAGAGTTCAAAATGTTAACAGTTGTTGATTCAAAACAGCTAATTTCATCCCTTTGATCATGGTGATGGTGAAAAACATAATATACTTCAGTCGACACGGCCACAACGAAACAAAATACGATGAGTAGAAATAATGATTTTTTCATTAAAGCAGCGGGACACGCGAAAAAATAAAATAGAGAATGAGAACATTTGGGGGGGGGGTTGCGTGTATGATGAGTGGTAATGCCTTTATAAGTAGGCAATCTTGTCTCTTTAAAAACACGGGCCTTACGACTTTACCATTATCCCGGCCGGCTTGTTAAACCCTGCTATTACTCTGAACTGACGTGTACAATCAAGTTTTTACTACTATCGGATAGATTCTATATAAAAAAACTTCCGCTTGGGAAAGCAGGAAATCAGGGTGCGGATACTTCTTTTGAAGAATTTTCGATCGTTTTTAAGGGGGCTAGCAATTGGTCGATAAACCTGTAGCCTGGCTTTTTCCCATCATTCTGGTTTTGCAAGTGCGTTTTGGCTTTTGGCCAACATCACTTGTGGATTTGGGGAACGAAAACGGCCAAAATGCAACTTTATCATTCCCACAGACCTCAACAACAAATCTGCATAGCCTAGGTTGAATGAATGTTTCGTGTGAAACAGACTCCAGTGAAGATGAGGTTAAGTTTTTGATTGGATGGCTTGGTGGTATCCCACTGTCTCACTGCGTATGTCCAAAATGGCCGCAGTGATGCCTTCTATAGAGTTAATTGAGTTTTCCTCCTTAGTATTTTGTTAAGTTGTCTTTTAAGTCTTGTTGCAAATTTTTCCAGCAGTGTCATACTCCAGTTGGAATCTCTCCGTCCTCTAGACGACCTTTATGTTTTGAATGTCCAAATCGCGTGGTATTTTACTATCATTAGGACACAGCAAAAGAATAATTGGAGTGCTTCTTAGTTGGAAAATATCTGTACATATTTCTTATGTAAACATTGCCAGGATCCAAGCAGTTTCAAAGTTAACAAGGATAAAATCAACTGAAATACGCTTTACTCAATAGTAAACGAGAGGGGGCGTCGGTCTAAGGGTCACGAGTTCGAATCACAGCGGCCATGAATTCCCATCTTCTTTTTTAGGTCTCATAAGATCCTTTTGACGCCCAATATATTTTTTATTTTTTAATAACATACTGTTTTTTGTTTGTTTTTTTCAGGTCTATGCAAAACTGTGGTATAGTTGACGTTCCGTGGGAGGCTTTTTATCCTTTGAAACACTTAACATCACTGTAAGTATTTGAGATGTGTAACTATAATTTACAACCTTATATTTTGAGAAGCAGAACAGACGCTCAGTTGTCTTCCAGTTGACTTCCAGATTAACAGCGAATTTAATGTTAGGAGCTGTTGAATTGTCTATGGAATTTCGTGATTCGCCGCTTTGAGTCGCTCCCAGTCTCCCTGTACCTTTGAATAGTCCTTGAAACTGATAAATATTAACTGCCAAGGGGATGAGCGATGTAGCGCAATGATTTCCCTTCTGACTCATCGCAACTTCTGCGATCCATAAAACAATCAAAATTAACAGAATAAAGAAAATTGCCGGTCTGAAAAAAGTTATTCTGGAAACTAAGGACATCCTAAACTCTACATATTTCCTTATTTATATCTCTTGCCGGGCCTACACATACAATATCGGTGGAATCCTCTTACTCTCCTTTGTATAAGACAGACGCGGGTCTCACTCAGTGTATACTGTTCATATCCCTTCCTATTCCGACAGCTATATAAGCTAATGGCACTGCGATTCTACCCTCCACCTCTCATTATAGCTCAGCGAACTTTCCATACACACATATATTCACCTGTTCAAAAATGGTGAATCAAACTCACCGCAAAATCCCAAAACATAAAGTTATTCAGATATCGTGAGATGCGGTCGGGTCTCCGGGTGACCCGACCGCATCTCACGATATCTGAATAACTATCGATTAACGGTCACTAATCTCTACACACACCCAAAACATAAACTTCACCCTCCGTCATATCTATTATAACCTCACCCTTCCTACCGAAAACGTCATCCGCTATCTCGAGCGGTACACGTCCTTTGAGAAGAAGTAATGCCGCTCGAGGGTTTTCCTCAATGTCGACAATCAGTCTAGCACATAGGTTTAATATGAAAGCTCATCTAGTCTACAGGAACTTTAGGTCTAATCTCGTCAACAAGTCTAGTCACAGTAGGTTGACACCCTTCTCGAATGAAGGTTGCTGCACATTCATACGCTGCTTGGAAAGCCGAAGCATTGTTGAAGTAGTAGTGACAACTATTGGAAACTTTAGTTAACCTCAGGCAGCCACCACTTTATTGGCCCTGGCTTCTGAGATTGGCCGGTGTTGCTTTGGAGATGTTGGGCAATTTGGCGGGTTTTGATGAGCCGGATGTGGTAGCAGATGGTGGCACCTGGTAGAAAGCGTGGTTCTCGAATAGTTCTTGAGCTAGCAACGAATGCGATGAATTGCTCTTTTAGTGTTGAGATTTCTTCGGCAAGTCTAGTCAAAGTAGGTTGAGGCCCTGCTTGAATAGAAGGTTGCTGCACATTCATATTACATGCTGCGCATATCAAATGCTTGAAAGCCGAAGCATTGTTGAAGTAGTAGTGACAACTAGTGGAAACTTTAGTTAACCACAGGCAGCTACCACTTTATTGGCCCTGGCTTCTGAGAATGGCCGGTGTTGCTTTGGAGATGTTGGGCAATTTGGCGGGTTTTGATGAGCCGGATGTGGTAGCAGATGGTGGCACCTGGTAGAAAGCGTGGTTCTCGAATAGTTCTTGAGCTAGCAACGAATGCGATGAATTGCTCTTTTAGTGTTGAGATTTCTTCGGCAAGTCTAGTCAAAGTAGGTTGAGGCCCTGCTTGAATAGAAGGTTGCTGCACATTCATATTACATGCTGCACATATCAAATGCTTGAAAGCCGAAGCATTGTTGAAGTAGTAGTGACAACTAGTGGAAACTTTAGTTACCACCTAGTGATTCCGGCTCCCGAGAAAGGCCAGGGTTTTTATATGTTGTGCGGCGTGGCGGGTATTGAGCCGGATGTAGTAGCAGATGATGATACCTGGATTCCTGGGTTTCAGACCATAGGAGATGGAAGCATAGAAGCATTATATGGGTCTTGACAGTTTTATTGTCCTCTTTCCAGGCGTTGTTTCATTTGGGAAGCGACTGTCATTTCAATCTGAATAGTGATCGGACCATTGAGACAGAATGAGACTCCGCGTCTTCCCGCAGTTAACATAATTAGCAGTTAAATTAGAACCGAGCTTACCGGAGCTTCTTCCAACTGAAGGCTGGCCTACTCTTCCCGTATTTCCGGCTTAAAAAGAAGCTCAGAGCGACACTTTGTTCGTATTATTGTGAAAAACCTCTACTTCAGAATGGACTGACTCTTCCCGTATTTCCGGCTTAAAAAGAAGCTCAGAGCGACACTTTGTTCGTATTATTGTGAAAAACCTCTACTTCAGAATGGACTGACTCTTCCCGTATTTCCGGCTTAAAAAGAAGCTCAGAGCGACACTTTGTTCGTATTATTGTGAAAAACCTCTACTTCAGAATAGACTGACTCTTCGGACAGTCCCAGTTTTTAATCAGGCTAACAATTTATTACAAGGTTTTGCTCAAAATAGTGCATTAAGAACAAAAGATGCGTTGCGATTGTGATAGTGATTATTGTGATAAACGCTGTGGACTGTACGCGACGTGTACTTGCGTCGGATAGATGTGCACACCCCACCAAAACGTGGGTAGCATCGGGTAGCGTCGCATGGCGTAGCATCGGGTAAGTGTGTTTCTGGCTTAAAGCGTGTTGAGGTTATCCTAAACTAGTCCATACAGTCCTTACTGTCTTTACTGGTACATGTCTACACTTTTCTATCCCGAGAACCCGCCAGTAGTTTTTTAATTAACCTATGAGACATTATTTATTGACAGATAAAAGACACATAATTATTTAGTAATGTCTCAGTATCCTCCTGAACCGGATATTTTGAGCACTTTTGCGTTGATTGAATTTACATTTAATTAATTAACAAGTATAATGCCAACATAAGCACGTTTATTCCTTTATTATTTTAAATATATCTTTTTTTATTGGCCCTAAAGTTTTCAAACCAAGTTTTGTGTACAAAAAACAATCTGTTTTAAGTACATATGGGTTAATATATCATAGGGAATCGTCAGATGGGGGGACAGCATAAAGATGAGGACGGATTCGGAATAGAATGTAACTGTGGAAAAGAATTAGATTAGTGTTTTTACCGCGGGATGTTTACATCACAAATTTTCCTCTTCCAACGCCAGGAAAGTAGATTCGCCACGAGTTTGTTAGTTTTGCCCCTCTGACAGAACATCAAGTATCTAACTTTCTAAAACTTTGCTCCGCTTGGATCAAGTCTGTAGACATTTCTCTTCTTAAAAATGCGGAAACTCAAATAGCGTTTATACTAACATGTTTCAAGGCACTCAATGTATCATATATTTGTCCCTTCGGGTGAAGGAACCTTTTCAACAGTTTTTCTTCTAAGAGCAAAAAGTGGATTCTTTCTTTTATTCACTTACGTGTCTTATAAAAAAATAATATAAAATAAAGAGAAGAATATAAAGAAAGGAATGTAAAAAATGATGATATATTGAGATGCTAGAGGTGGCTTGGATAGAATTCGTGGTCAGGAGACCAAATTGTGCTATCATACTCGTACAGTGCTGGGACGTATGAGCAATATGGTTTCGAGTTATTCATTCACTATTTATTAATTCACTCTGACGGTGTTGGGTGGTAATAAGGGAATAAAATGAGTGTTTATTTGGTGCCAGATCCAATACCTGCGTCTAAACTACTCAAACTCTACTCTTTGTTTTACAGAATTCTCTCATCTCGGACCGTTTTGTTTCTCTTATTTATTAATGATGTCCATCTTGCTCTCCCTTCTGCTCAATTTTTATTATTTACTGACGATCTGAAGATCTATTCCAAAATTACTTATCTTTCTGATTGCTTTCAATTACAAAATTCTATCGATAATGTGCTAACCTAGTGCTCTAATAACAAACTTGCTCTCAATGTCTCCAAATGCTACACAATTACATTCTCTCATAAGAAACAACCTTTTATTTATCACTACACTCTCCAGGATTCTCTTTTAATGCGAGTTGAGGTCGTAACCCCCCCCCCAACCTACTTTTTGATCAAAAGCTCAAGTTTAAAGAACATATTTCCATGATTGAACCGATACAAAACACAGATTTGCGTCTAGCCATAGGTGCATTTAGATCTAATCCATCTGTTAGTGTGCATGCTGAAGCTGGAGAATTGCCCCTCAAACATCGAAGATTAAGACTTGACTTGAACTTTGCAGTTAAAATTCTCTCATGCCCTTCCCATCCTCTAGTGTCCCTTTTTCCAATTGAAAACTCTATTCCGTTTGCAGATACCCTACGCTGTAAAAGAAAGCATTTTCCATTTAGAGTGGCTGCTCATTTACAATTAATAAATGCTACGATCCCCCCTCTCTATAAAATTGGAATTTCCCTAAACCTCCCTGGCTGCTTCCAAAGCCTAATCTACGCTTACACCTCACTAAATTTTCTAAGAAGAGTACTCCCACCTACATGTACAGTCAAGAATTTTATAAAATAATAGGTATCTTTTCAAATCCCACACTATGTTTTACAGATGGCTCAAAAAATGATGTAGGGACAGGTGCTGCTTTTTTCACTTATAATAATAAGGCACAATATATGTTTACCCTACCACCTATATGTAGCAGCTATACTGCTGAGATTATAGCAATAGCAAAATGCTTACCTACATTAGCCCCATCCAGGGAAACGATTGTCATCTATACTGACTCTTTGTCAGCGCTATTGGCACTTAAAAACAACTTTTCTGTACATCCGTTGATACAAGGCATCCTATTTACCATTGAATCTCTGCAAAATCAGGGAAATAGGGAAGTTTTCATGTGGATTCCTGGACACTGCGGAATATTTGGCAATGAGAAGGTGGACCATTTGGCAAAACAGGCCATCCTTAATGGAGTTAAAATTACAAAAACACCAAAATCCGATGTGGCAGCTTGGCATAAAAGAAAGTCTTGGCAGTTATGACAATCGGAGTGGGAAACGACTTCTAATGTCAAACTTAGGGAGATAAAAAATAGTGTAAAACCTTAGGCCTCATCTCATAGAGGTTCCAGGCATGAAGAAGTTGTCCTTGCTAGGCTCAGAATTGGTCATTGTAGGCTTACTCATTCTTATCTCATGGCAAAAAAAGAGACTCCGCTTTGTGATGGTTGCGCAGAAAGAATAACAGTGAAACACATTTTGACAAATTGCAAAAAATATGTAGCAGAAAGACANGAACATGCTAGGTTTCATCATCCGGAATACCTATGAATTTAACAATCCTCTATGTTTTGTCCATCTTTATAAAGCTTTTGTACAACCCATACTAGAATATGCCACACCTGTTTGGAACCCACACTATCTAAAGTATCAAAAATTTCTTCAATCTGTACAAAACAAATTTTTAAAAAAGCTGTCTTACAAACTCAATCTTCCTCCGAACACCGCCTACCCTGGAATCAGCTCTCAATTTAAACTTTTCGAACTGGCACTAAAAAGGGATTACTTTGATATTGTTTTTGTATTTAAATTATAAAAACAATCTTATTGGTGGTCCTTTTCTCCTCTGTCAGCTACAGCTACACGCACTCTCTCAAAACCCACAAACTATTTTATATTGAATTCCAAAGCTCTAACTACTTGCTCTCTTCTCCTCTACACCGAATGATGATCAAAAGTAACAACATCCGCAATAGCATTGACTATCCTTGGACACATCGGCCTGGAGGGTAACGAACGCGCGGACGCGGCGGCGAAAGCTGGAACGTCTCACCCTCCCGACCGGACGCTAAACGAGCTGTAAAAAAGGTGATAAGGGATAAATGGCATCGTCGGTGGGCAGGGTCATCCGAGAGGCTCCTTCGTGTTAAGTGCACGACCTGCCCACACGATGACCCCTCCGAGGATCTTAGGCGTATAGAAAGAATAGTTCTTACCAGATTAAGAATAGGCCATACGCGGTTGACCCATGGGCACTTGCTGGTGGGCCAATCCCCCCGCAGGTGTCCGTTATGTAGAGAAAGGTTACTCGATGTGTCCCACATAGTCAAAGCGTGTCGTGCCTTGGCTCCCTACAAGGCGCGAGTAGGTATGCCGCTAGATTTAAAGAGAGTTCTCGGACACAGCAGCGGGGTTCAGGGTCCTTTGTTTCGCTTTTTAAAGGAATAGGGAATTTTTTATGTATATAGAAATAAAGGTATGTGTTTTGTATGAGTGAGTGTATTTATTAGAGTGAATGGGGAGGGGCTGGTGGTGGAATAGCAACCCCATCGCCCCTCGAGCTGTGTACGTGACTTGGGTCGATGGCGGAATATTTATAAAAGTACCCCATCGACCCCAATCTAGATTAGTTTATTATAGGGAATAGGTAGATGGAGGAATATCGAGTACTCCATCTACCAAACAGTATGAATGCGATCAATGAATATAGGTATGAATGTTTATGAATTTATCGAGTGTATCGAGTGTGTAGCAGTATTATGTTAGTGCTTCGGGGTTGAAATGACGAAGCTGTCCGATGCCCCTGTCAAAAAAAGTCTTCATCAATAGTTCTGTGCAATCTGTGAAAAACCATATCCTACGCTAGTTGAATTTTCTTACCTAAATTATTCGGAGATCGTGAGATGCGGTATGGTGAGATGAAGATTTTAGAAAAACATTTTCTTTATCATGCCAACGTCTAAAATTGTCTAGCATTATATAATATATTTTTTAATCTAACATTTTCTAGCATTGTATAAATTCATAATTTTTTTGCCACATCCTACATGTATTTGTAAAATTCAAACAACGTTTATAAATCCCGGCTCTGAAGATGATCTCAATAAAGATCGAAACGTTGACACGATAAAGAAAATGTTTTTCTAACACCTACGTCACACCGCATCTCACGATCTCCAAATAATCATTGACTAACGGTCACTAAACACCATACATTTCTTACCAATTTATATTTTTTTAAATGCTTTTACATTTCATAATGTTAAAAGTTTATTACAATTTATTTCATTTGCTGGTTCAGCTAGATTTTGCGCTCTAGTCTTATTATATATCTACAAAGAGCATTATTTTCATTAAATATGTACCTAAATATTGTAGTTTCAGTTGTCTTTCAGCTTTGTTTCCTTTGCCTTAATTTACTTAATAATTATGTCTTTTTATTTTTGTTGTTGTTCAGTTTTTACTCTTTGAATTGTATTTTTATATTTATCATTTATATAATATATATATAAATTTTATTGTAAAATGTATTGATATTGGATTTCGATCTGTAAATAAATAAGAATATTGACGTAAAGGGTTGTACACCTTTCTATTCTAGTTGTGTAACAAAACTTCATACCATCAAGACAATTGAACGATTTAACACTTCGACTTAACTATCGATAGGTAAAATCAGAACAAATCGATCTCTTTCCCATGGCAGTCGTGCGTTCGAAAAAAACCGCATTGTTGAATTTGGAAAAAAATAAATTTCTATTCGAAAGGATATTCAGGGGATGGAAGGAAATGGGTTTTATGCGTCCATTCGACCGCGAGAGCCTATAGATTTATTAGCCTGTTTACATCGGTCGCAAACTTTTTGCTGCTCTCAAGTCGAACATAATGAGATAATACTTTATCAAGGAAAAAATATATATCCGATTATGTACAAACGGGTCGAATTTTCCTGTCCAAAATGATAAATCGTCTTACTGGTTAATTAACTACGCACTTTTCCGGCTCGTTGACCTATTCACTAAACTATAATTGATAATAGAGAAGGCTTGATTTTCTGACAAGAGCTTAACCGAACAGTTTTTCATTTGCTAAAATTTAAGGTTCACCTTTATGCAAATTAAATTCCCCCTTTTTGCAAATTAAATTCACCTTTTAACGAATCAAATTTCCCATTTTAATAATTAAATTCATTATTTTGAAAATTAAATTCACCCATTTGAAAATAAAATTTACTCTCTTGCAAATTAAATTTGCATTTTAGCAAATAAAATTCACCCTTTTGCAAATCAAATTCAACCTTTGGAAAATAAAATTCACCCTTTTGCCAATTAAATTCTCCGTTTTGTAAATAAAATAAACCGTTTCGCCAATAAAATTAACCCATTGTTAAATCGAATTCATCCTTTTGATATTTATATTCAATCTTTCACAAATCAAATGCACTCGTTTGCAAATTAAATTGACCCTTTGACACTTTTGAGAATAAAATAAACCGTTTCGCTAATTAAATTCACCGTTTCGCTAATCAAATTCACATTTTGCAAATCAAATTCATACTTTTGCCATTTAAATTCTCCTTTTTGTAAATAAAATAAACCGTTTTATAGAAATTAAATTCACCGTTTGCAAATAAATGTATCCTTTTGAAATTTAAATTCACCATGTTACCGTGTTCGCAAAAGGGTGAATTCAATTTGTAAAAGGTTGTATTTTAATTTCGTAATGGTGAATTTAATTTTGAAAAAACAAATGAATCAAACTCGCAAAAAGGCCAATTTAATTTGCAAAAGGGTGAATGAATTTTAATTTTATAATGCTGAATTTCATTTTCAAATAAAAATATATTTTATTTGCAAAAAGGGTGAATGTAATTTCTGTAAAAGTTAATTTCATTTGCAAAAGGGTAGATTTATTTGCAAAAAGGGCGAATTTAATTTTCATAAAGGTGAATTTCATTTGAAAAATGGTAAATTTAATTTGCAAAAGGGTGAATTTTAATTCCATAATGGTGAATTTAATTTTCAAAAAATAAAATTTAACTCGTAAAAGGGTGAATTTCATTTTCAAAGGTTAAATTTAATTTGCAAAAGGGTGAATTTTAACTTAATAATGTTGAAATTTATTTTGAAAAAAGAGACTAACTCGTAAAAGGATGAATTCATTTTTCAAATGGGCGAATTTCATTTGCAAAAGGGTAAATTCAATTCGCAAAAGAGTGAATTTTAATTTCATAATGTTGAATTTCATTTTCAAATAAAAAGATGTATTTCATTTGCAAAAAGGGTGAATGTAATTTCTGTAAAAGTTAATTTCATTTGCAAAAGAGTGGGTTTATTTGCAAAAAGGGCGAATTTAATTTTCATAAAGGTGAATTTCATTTGAAAAATGGTAAATTTAATTTGCAAAAGAGTGAATTTCATTTTCAAAGGTTAAATTTAATTTGCAAAAGGGTGAATTTTAATTTCATAATGTTGGAATTTATTTTGAAAAAAGAGACTAACTCGTAAAAGGATGGATTCATTTTTCAAATGGGTGAATTTCATTTGCAAAAGGGTAAATTCAATTCACAAAAGAGTGAATTTTAATTTCATAATGGTAAATTTAATTTTCAAAAAGTGAATTTAACTCATAAAAGGGTGAATTTAATTTACAAAAGGGTGAATTTCATTTACAAAAGGTAAATTTAATTTGTAAAAAGGCTGAATTTTAATTTTATAATGGTGAATTTAATTTTCGAAAAAGTGAATTTAACTTGCATAAAGAAATTTATTGAATTTACTTTACAAAAGGGTGACTTTGATTTAAAAAACACCGTATATCAAAAAACGGACAATTTAAGCAACTATTGCTTTATTATAAATTTTACATTGTACAAAATTACAGTTTAAATTACTTACAAATCCAGTAGGATTTTGATAATGTAATGCATCTGAGTTTGAACATGGATATTTGTACGTATTTATTTTTGTAGTCAACTGGACCAAAATGAAATTTGGAAACTTGAATCTGATGACATGGTACAAATGGCCGAACTGAGAAATTTGAGGCTGGACTCCAATAAATTGAAAGCGATACCTTCAGAAGCATTTAACTATCTCCCTTCTTTGGAAGCTTTGTGCGTATCACTATTTTCAAATTATGACTAAATCACTAACACCACTCATATTGTAGCTTTTAATTTAAGAAACACATTTCACCGAGGAATACGGACATGTGTTTGATTCATTTCTAGTTTTGTTCCTTTCATGCTCATTAATCCTTTTAATTTATCCCATTTTATAATGAAATTAAATAATCATAAAACTGTGCCATTTAATAACCTTTTGAATGGTATGCTTACCTCTTGGTAAAATCAGTGCATTGCATTTTCAAGGGGTACTTTTGATTAAACCGTGCAAATCACAAACCACCCTGTATACTACTATCATGTAATTTCCTATATCATTATCATTGAAGAACATTCATTTTTTATTACTATTATATGCATATTTTAAATTGTATAAAGATTGGAAATATTAATTTTGTGTTTTTATTTATTTCAGAAATCTTGGTTCTAATCTTCTTACAACTATTCCACTTAAATCATTTTCAGCTCTGTCAAATCTCTTAATATTGTAAGTCTAAATAGAAAAACAATCATAATCACATTGAAAATGTGTTGAACTGACAATGGCTCTCGTGAGTTACTCACTGATGATGCAAAGTCACATCTTGTTTAAAATCAAAACCCTTGAAGTAGACCCAGTGCCGGTTCAGCATTTTTTATGTACAGAATATTCACAAGTAAAACCAGTTTCATTATTTAAAGAAAAATAATATAAATAATAAAGACATAAAAATTAACTTTTTTCTTTTTTTAGATATGTTAAAAGAAATCAAATATCGTCAATTCATGACGATGCATTTGCAAATTTAACATCCCTCAGAGTGCTGTGAGTATTGTAATCATGTTAAAAATTGTACACGTATAACATGTAATATTAAATATTTCAGAGAACTGGATGACAATCTCCTTACGCACATTCCAATAGCATTAACTAAACTAACTGCTCTTCAAGAACTGTAAGTGATACATTAAAATATACAATCTTAAGATCCATGTATGTTTGAATGTATTATAATAGTTTTGTGTACATGGGGAAGATTATGAAGTGTGCAGGATGAAGAGTTACAAGATAATTCTTTGTGAAACTTCTCGTAGCTGTTTTGGCCTAGAGTATTAATGTTTCGGAAGATTTTGTATTTTAAGCATTGGATTGGTTGGAGGAATTGGTTGAACCCCAAAATTCGATGTCATATGTCCAAATGGTCGTATAAATGAAACATTTGTCCAGCAGTCTTTTAAGAAGCCTGAAGTGTCTGTTGAGTTCCTGTTTTTTCCTGTTCCTGTAAGTCATTTGTCATGCATAGCACAAAGTAGTTAATATATTGTAGTAATGGGGACAATGGTTGTTCTTCAAAGGATGAAAGAGAAGCCCTGATTACATCTATTTTGCTCGATTTCACATCAAGAAATAAACCGGAGCACTCCTTTCGCTCAAGAACGATGATGTCTACAACTCAATAGCTGAATAGTGAATCTGAACCTAAACTGATTGTCAGGAATGTAGTTGCGAGAAATGATGGGGAGAATGTGCTTAAGCAGTTTTTTAGGATTTAGCCCATTTTAGGCAATGAACTAATTAAACGATTGAACGTTATGAGGTTTTTTAGGCATTGAAATTTGAATGAGGTAAAATTTCTATGGGATGGAAAGTATGTGGTTCTAGGAAACAGAACAGCTTTTCTAAAGCTAGGTGTTGAAATATTTTTGCTGTGATTAAGTCGAAATCAGGAGCTTCTTTAATGGTTTAGTGCTAGATGGTTTATGGCTATACTTCATTGGGTGTGAATGGTATTTGGTGGAGGGTAGATTAGAGATTTTTTATTCTATTAATGTAATAATTAGTACTCGCTTCGGCGGTACATATACTAAAATTGGCGTTTTCTGTACAAGCCCAAAACATGAGCAATCAAACTCATTAGGGAAGTACACTTCGGTGTTTCAAGCGGAAATATATGCCATCAATGCTTGTGCCCTGGAAAATCTTAAAAGAGTTTACACTGACAAAAAGAAATCCTCATAAGATCAGATAGCCAAGCAGCCATTAAAGCATTAGCATGTAAAAGAATCACATCAAAATTAGTCAGTGAATGCGTCCAAAATCTCCAAAACCTAGGGAAGTACAACAACCTGATGATATCTTGAGTGCCAGGGCACAGGGGAATTTTGGGTAACGAGAAAGCAGACAGACTGGCCAGAGGAGGATCTGCAAGACCATACATAGGCCCCGAACCTATTCTTGGGATAACGAGAACAAATATAGAGTCCTCCATTGCAGAATTAATCCAAGCAAAACAAAAGGAGAAGTGGATAAACTCTAACGGTGCTAGACATAGTAAACTTAGGATGAAGCAACCCACCGAGACTGGCAAAAACACTGCTGCAATTGGAGAGGGCCAAACTCAGAGTGGTAGGACTACTAACCGGTCACTGGCATCTGAGAAAACATCTACACAACATGGTATATGCAACGATGATCCCATTTGCAGGTTATGTAATGAGGAGGAGGAAACAGCCACTCATATCATCTTCGAATGCGAAGCAACAGCTCAATGGAGGTTTAACCTAACGTACAGAAAAAACTTAGGAAATCAAATTGCAGCAGCAAAAGTCAATGACCTGATACTTCTAAGAAGAAGGATTGTGTCTATTGACTGAACTAAGGAACTAGGAAGGTACAATAAGCCAAAAGGCTGCAGTGCCTGGGGAGTACAAACCCCGCTTCCTAGTATCCTTTTCTACCATACCATACCAATGTACTAATCATGTTCTATTTGTTTCTACTTTCAGATCTGTTTCGGGTAACAAAATTAAATACATCCCAAGTGGGGTTCTTCAGAAATCTCAAGGTTTGGCTCATCTGGAATTAAAAGGAAATCCGTTAGTTGGAGTCGATCCACACGCATTCTCATTCCTCCCTAAATTAAGAAAATTGTAAATATTTCTTTTCTTTTTTTCTTGCTATTATCATGCATTTTGGTAACTATTATTAATATTGCTAAGCGAGGTGAATTCATTTACTGTTCAGATTTGTTTACTTTTAGTTAGAAAGGAAGGTAAGATTCAAAAGGTACAAAAGTCAGAAAGAATCATACACATTACAACATTTATCCAGACTATCTAAATAAATATGAATATTTTATCATCATTATTGCCACACTTGTGACCTTTCTGCACATTCTTCAGCCTCTTACATCCTTCGCTGGTCTCTTCTTGTCTGAACTACTCAATATTCTACCATCACACTACTCATTTGCTCTAATAAACACATTCTCTCTCATTATAAAAGAAATGTTGCACAAAACGACCTGGGACCCAAAGACTCACACCCGTGATCAAACAAAGTTCTCATATCGGGTGGCATACATACAAGCTCTCTACATTGAGTCAAGGAATGACTTCAATTAAGACAAAGAACCTTGCTTACATTACGTACCTTATCACAGCATAGAACTATCAAAGTTAATTAAAAATAATTAATTAAAAAAATATGCATATTATGTTTTATAATTAATTAAGGTTTTTAGTTGAGATGAAAACAAAGTTAATGGCACGAGCGGGATTCGAACCCACGATCTTCGGCTAGATACGCCGCTGCTCTACCACTTGAGCTATCGTGACCTCGATCCACTCGGACATCAACTTCCTATCTCAACCCCACCTTATGAGTTTTCCCTCCTTTTTGCCATTTTTCAGGAAGTTGATGATCAAGGTCACGATAGCTCAGGTGGTAGAGCAGCGGCGTATCTAGCCGAAGATCGTGGGTTCGAATCCCGCTCGTGCCATTAACTGTTTTTCATCTCAACTAAAAACCTTAATTAATTGTAATGTATTAATTGGTCAAGCGGACCACAAAATTAGTGAATTCTGTTTTATTTTCAATTTGTTTATAAAAATATAATTGCTTGTCAAACTTTATAAATAAATACTTGATTGAGACTTATATTACAGGATTTTATCCGACGCTCGAGAATTGACAGAGTTCCCAAGTCTAAATGGGACGTCTGCTTTAGAAATTTTGAGGATAGACAGAGCGAGTTTACAAACAGTTCCGGAAACGTTGTGCAAATCGTGTCCAAAAATTAAAAGCTTGTAAGTATAACTTAACTGTCAGATATTTAAATGTGAGTTAAAATTTGAACTTTGTTTCAGGGACTTGAAGTCGAATAGTTTGTACAAAGTTCCTGATTTGATTGGTTGTAAAGATTTGAGAGTGTTGTAAGTTATTAACGTTTACATTATGTATCGTATAAATTATATATATAGACCTAAGGTATGTGGGGATAATGAATCTGTAATTTTGGTCGTTAGCGATCATTTTGGTCTGCCTGTCCTTATTTGGTTGGGCTGTTAGACTTGTTTCAACATTTTGCCATCATAATTTAATCTGTGACATTATTACATTCTTCTAGATGTGTTGGTACATTTATTACATTTTCTCTCTTCATTTTCATTTTTGGAAAGTTTTATTAATATGAAGTTCTCTGAGTGCTCTTTGGGACAACAATGAAAAAGGCGAAATTCTGAAACTCATTTCACAACCCAACCAAATAACGCCAACAGGTCTCACAGCCCAAGGACTAAATTTAGCAATAGCCAATTTTTGGTATAGTATTTAATATTTACATTTGAACAGTTAGTTTCCAGGATTTATATATGTAATGTATTCAGATGTAAACGGTCATATATCTAATAGGCTAACAATGATAATAATTTTTCTTGAATTCACAGGGATTTAGCTGGAAATAAAATTTCATCATTAGAAGGAAGGCTATTTGCAGGATTGAATCAGTTACACGACATGTTGCTGTCGCACAACGAAATAACGAGGATTCCAAAAGATGCTTTCTTTGGTTTGCCAAGACTACAAGTCCTGTAAGTTATTTGTCAATAGCTCTTACAATAAAACTTTCTACAACATTAAATTATATTATTTATGCTTTAGTGACCTGGAAAGCAATTTAATAGAAGAGATCCATCCGGATGCCTTCACAGAATTCAACCAACTTGAAGATTTGTAAGCGTTATTATTAAATTATTAAATATTCATGTTTTCTTATTTGTCTTTTTTTTATTATATAGTTTAATATAGAATATAACATTATTTCAACTTTATTAGATCAGCAGGGTGATATTGGCTTTGAAGAGTTTCTTATTTAAGTCTTAATGAGCTTTTTGTTTCAGAAATCTTGGCAACAATATATTCCCTCTACTTCCGACAGATGGGCTGGACCGTCTGTTACATTTGAAAACGTTCAACAATCCAAAATTAAGAGTTTTTCCTCCTCCAGAAAAATTTCCAAGGGTTCAGACATTGGTTTTGTCCTACGCCTACCACTGTTGTGCTTTTCTTCCGTTAATACCGATTGAACCGCCTCAGAGAATACCCGTTCACGAATCTGTACTGTTTCCAACTGATAACGAATTTGACATGAGCTTATGGAATTCGAGTTTGACTGACATTTGGCCCCAACTGCGTAAGTATTCATATTTAATATTTTCAATGCATAAAAAATTTATTCTTTTAAAAAATGGTAGTCTAGTTACCTACCTGTCCCTACAACGAGTACTCAGAGAAGAAGCGTCAGTAAATTACATTCTCACACAAGACTCCATTCACGCTGCCCTAGAATACTCGATATTGCTTGGAGTAATTTGGGAAGAAACTGCTCTATTTATGCCATTTTATTCACACTACACTAGAGCACATTGTTCCTTGGAATAATTTGTGAAGAAGCCTCTCAATTCACGCTAATAACTTATATTCACACTGCCCCAGAATTCTACCCCAAATTCAATGGGTTAATTTGGGAAAAAGCCTTTCCACTCACTCTAATAAATTTTATTCACACTGCCATAGAGTGCATGATATTGTTTGGGGTAATTTGGGAAGAGCCAAGTATTCATGCTAATAAATTACATTCACTCTGCCGCAGAGTACACAATATTCCTTTGGATAATTTGGGGAGAAGCATTTCCATTCATGCTAATAAATTATTACGATTAATTAAGGTTTTTAATTGAGATAAAAAAGTCAATGGCACGAGCGGGATTCAAACCCACGATCTTCGGCTAGATATGCTGCTCCTCTACCACTTGAGCTATCGTGACCTCGATCCACTCGGACACCAACTTCCCATCTCAACCCCACCTTTTTAGTTTTCCCTCCTTTTTGCCATTTTTCAAATGTCATGTAATCGGATTGGATTCTCAGCGACAAATGAAATGGCCACGGAGAGCTTTAGTGAAGTATACTTCATTTTTAATCATTAAATTCACTAATTTTGTGGTCCGCTTGACCAATTAATATATTACAATTAATACTAAATTTTATCAGCTTCTATTAAATATATAAATACTCAAATAAATTATACACATTTTTTTTCGAAATGAAAAATTTGTGTCACAGGCGGGATTCGAACCCACGACTTTCGGCTAAATACGCCGCTGCTCTACCACTTGAGCTACCGTGACTTCGATCGCCCATGCCACAAACTTTTCATTTCGACTACCCGATTTTAATCTAATTATAAGCAAATCGCGGCTTCATATAGAAAAACGTTTTATTAATGATTATACTAGATTAGCAGGACTACGATTCACAGGTGTAATTCTACATTAATACTAAATTTTATCAGCTTCTATTAAATATATAAATTACTCAATCATACACAATTTATTTCGAAATGAAAGTCGTGGGTTCGAATCCCGCCTGTGACACAAATTTTTCATTTCGAAAAAAAATTGTGTATAATTAATTGAGTATTTATATATTACAATTAATTAAGGTTTAGAAACCTTTTTCACAAAATTAGTGAATCTAATAAATTATATTTTCACTGCCCCAGAGAATTCACCAGGAAAATTGGGGAAAAGAATCCATCCTATTCATGCTAATAAATTACATTCATACAAGACCTCACTCGCACTCACTCGCACTTCTTTTTTAAATAATTGTTACTTGTTTAATACTTTTTAAATTTTTGTTTTTATTATGTTATTTTTTTTTATGTTATTTTTGTATTCATATTTGTAGAAAATCTAAGCAAAAAATTCGGAACACAAATAAACCAATTGTGGGATAATTTTGGAACTGACTTCACTTACCCGGGGAACCTACCGGCGTATGTTGAAGAATATTTTGAAGAGCAAGACATTAATAAACAGACAGACACACCTCCTGGTAGAATTCAATGCTTGCCGACCCCAGGTAAACTATAAATAAATGTTGTTTTATAGCGATGTAAGTGAAACCTAGGACTGCCCATATCAAGCAAATATTATCTTCTAAACTAATAAATTTAATTATGTATGTTTTTTAGGTCCATTTCTACCTTGCGTTGATTTATTTGATTGGTGGACGCTCAGATGTGGTGTATGGGTTGTATTTTTATTGGCCATGCTTGGAAATGGAACTGTTGTGTTCGTCTTAATATTCTCTAGAAGCAAAATTGACGTGCCACGATTCCTTGTGTGTAATTTAGCAGCTGCAGATTTTTTTATGGGAGTTTACTTAGGTGAGTGTATTTAGTAAAGAAACGCTATAACTTTTAATCAATGAGAACTCAAATTTTAGGTATGCTAGCTGTCGTCGATGCATCTACACTAGGAGAATTCGAAATGTATGCCATACCTTGGCAGATGTCAGCGGGCTGTCAACTCGCAGGGTTCTTAGGTGTATTGAGTTCTGAATTATCAGTATACACACTGGCTGTTATCACATTGGAAAGAAATTATGCCATCACACATGCCATGCATCTCAATAAACGTCTCTCATTGAAACACGCAGCCTATATTATGTTGTGTGGGTGGACGTTTGCTATAATAATGGCAACGTTGCCATTAGTCGGAGTGTCTGATTATAGAAAATTTGCTACTTGTCTGCCTTTCGAGACGAGTACAACTTGGAGTCTGACATATGTGGTATTTTTAATGTTTATTAACGGTATCGCTTTTCTTATACTAATGGGATGCTACTTAAAAATGTATTGTGCAATTAGAGGATCGCAGGCATGGAACTCCAATGATTCAAGGATCGCAAAACGGATGGCTCTTTTAGTTTTCACAGATTTTTTGTGCTGGTCGCCTATAGCGTTTTTCTCATTGACCGCCGCGTTCGGCCTTCAGTTAGTCAGCCTCGAGCAGGCAAAAGTATTCACAGTCTTTATTTTACCTTTAAATTCTTGTTGCAATCCGTTTCTTTATGCAATTCTGACAAAACAGTTCAAAAAGGATTGTGTACTTATTTGTAAAGCAATTGAGGAATCTCGAGTTACAAGGGGAATAGGAAGATGCCGCCATAGCTCGAACTTCAGCAACCGTCAAACTCCAGCAAACACAAACAGTTTGATTGACAGATCGTCCCGAGATCAGCAAGCTCATCAACCATGCAGCTGCAACGTTAAACTGTTAGGCGATAGCTCAAGCTCTAAAACAACACCATCGCGATGGATTGCCAATAAATTGCGTTGGCTTTCAGTCTGTGCACATCGGGACAGCAGCTCTAGACATCGAACGAGATCCGATCAGTATGCTTATCAAATTGCAGAGATTCAACAGAAACAACACAAAAGAGCATCTTCAGTATCATCGAGTGAAAACTTCAGCTCGAGCAGATCGGATTCCTGGAGGCAAAATCACCACCATTGTGGTATTCCTATGAGACTTTTAGATCCAAAACGGAGGGCTTCTTCTTGGATAGTAACGAGGAAAACATCCCAAGATTCAAACCTATCGAGCTCAAGGAACGATTCATCAGGATCAGCCACGACTAACAGTACAACCATGTCGAGAGTGTCTCGTTCGAGTAATTCTAGTGAAACGAGGTCAAAGCCTCGTTTAACAAGACAAAGTGCTGTTCAAGATGATGACATTCCAGGATCACCGGCAAGGCTTACAGTCCGCTTTTTAACAACGATCCCGTCTGCTGCAGAAACAAGCGTACAACATGAAGATGAAAACCCTTGTTATGCGATCCTCCATGCCAGTGCAGAAACATCTCCTAATCCTAGTCAAATGTCCTCATCATTTCTGCATAACGAACAAAATTCAAATCGACACAAGCCTTAATTTTAAAATTTTGATTCCGTTACAAAATACATCAAAGATTGCGACATACTTTTTTTAAACTAACACTTAAATAATTTAACCTCTGGGTTTATATATATATTATTTTTTAATTTATAAGTCTATCAAGGCAAAATAGTTTTTAATTGCACTAGAGTTCCTTGTTTGTTGTTATCTGATTCCTCTCTTATATTCGTAATGAACTAGCAGATAGAAGTGATAAATAACTAGATTGTTCAGTTACAAGTTGAAATAAACGTTTATACAGTTGTCACACCATGTGAAAAATAAATAGTGGTCTATTTTTTCTTATTATTATATTTTTATACCAACTATAAGGTAGTGTGCCGCCAAGGTCGTTGTTATAATTTGCTGAAGAAAGTAGGTGTAAATTTAAAAAAAACTTGACATGAAAAAAATGGATTAGATTTTAATAGCCATTTTCTAAAACTAACTTATTACCAGCTTAAATCTTCTTTTTTTTAACATATAAAATCTGATCGTTAACATAATTATGAGATTTCTCCACGAACCTGAAATTTGGTCCTGACATTTTAGTTCGCCTTTCCTCGCTGTTTTTGCCTCAACACTGACAGACCCACAAATCAAGATGGCGTTCCAATAGACCAACCCGCCAAGGAAAGAGACCAAATTTAAAAAAAAATCTATATGAAAAAGGACCTCCTAGAAAAGATGAACAATGAAACAATAATTATATATATTTAAAAGATTTTCAGATAAAGTTTCATTTCATTAAATTTATCAAACACAAAAATTTTACGTCAATTGTTAAATTGATGGTAATAAATTACATATAAATTGGATCACTATTTTATTATTCCATTACAAGAGTAAAACTGAAACTAAAGATATGAAATTCAAGTGTACGTGCCTGTTTTATTCGTTATAAAAGTGCGCCATGTAATAAAACTCATTTTAATTAGAATTATTATAACAAATTCATACTCAATTATTTATATGACCTAGACTGTTTAAAAGTAAATAATCAAATAATACGGTTGAAAGACATCTAATGGTTCATTCAGTTTGGACACTGCTAAAACGTGAGATTTCCTCATGATGCGGGATGTTGAACGCGTAATTTGGTCATTGTCAAACATTTTGTTCTGCCTATCCCGGAATTTACTCAATTTACACTTATAAACAGCTAGATGTACACTGACTAGCCGTAGGGTCAAGGGGGTTGCTTGATATTCCGCCCTCAAAGCTCTTGTAAACATTCATGCTTATAAATGCATTCACACGAAACAGTTAACATGGAATTCATCTATCATCCAACCTTTTAATATCCTCTCTGTACAAAGCCAAGGAATGTATTTAACTAAGTGGAACACAAATCTTAACAATTCTATTTATGTAATTAAGGGCTCGGGGGGTAATAAATATTCCATTATCAACCCTCTCACTGCACATTCACTTTAATACATTCACTCTCAACATATACAGCATGAAATACCTATCAGTACTTTATGCAATAATATAGTCCTATTTCCTTCAAAAACCAGAACAAGAGAGCCAAAGATTCACTACAGCTACTAATGAAGCATTATTCTGATATCGGGTGGCTACCCTCTCTATATGGAAATTATTTCAAATAATATGAAACATAAAAATCGCATCATTCTCCTCATGCCATAAACTAAACAGGAGCAAGTACTCTATATAAAAAAAAAAAATATCATCTATAACAGAATCCAATCAAACACAATACTGATGATGGCAAAAAACTAAAGCACGACAGACCCAACGAGGGCAGGAAGATCAAAATGATCTTTAATGACCTAACCTCTCTGCTAAATGTCAAACTTTTAGTAGTGACACCTTTTGAGTATGTGTAATAGCTTTTTTATGTTTACAATTTTATGAATCACAAAGGATGTGATTAGAATAAAACTCTAAAGGAATTCAATAAGAATATCTGAAGATATAAATCTAAAAAAAAAAAATAATTAAATAACGAATATAATTACTTTTTAACTTTAAAATAGACTTTATTTATAAAGGTGGTGTGTATATATTCATACAAAAATATTTAAAGATGTTAATAACAATTTGAGTATGCCAAAGTATGGTTAAATCTTAAAATTCTAAACTGTGTGCATCTTGTACACCGGAGCTGTGTATTTTGTGAATTGCGTGTCTGCATGTCGAATAGTACTGTTCAAAAAAAAAACCAAAGAATTATGCATTGATAATGTAATTTTTATTTTCTATGGCATGTAGAAACATTGCTTGATTTACAGTACAGTTTATGATTTCAGTGAAATTTCATCATGTATCATTGTATAAACTGTAAGATTTTCTAATTTTCTGAATATTCTTGTATTATTTTATAATTACGTGTACAATAGAACAACTACTAATCCATCTGTATTAGCAAAAAAAAAATGTTTTGGTGCCAACGGTGTTTAAACTGATATTCTTAGTTTAGTATTGTGGAAATTGAATGAACGGAAGATATGCTATAGATAAATTTATAAAATGAAAATTTTGTACATACTTAATTAAAGTAAATTAATAATGAAAATAATAAATTGAGATTTAAAAAAATTAAAAAGTCAGACTGCTCAATTTAGGTATAACAAGACTTTAAACGTGTTGATTAAACATTGAAAACAGTAAATTTCAAATAGTAACATAATAGGTATTTTACTGCCAATATTTTTAATTATGATACAATAATTTGTTATTTAAATTACAGATTTTGTCATTGAAACAGAAATTTGCAAAGTTTGATGTCACACGAGATGAACTGTAGTAACGAAATGTTACAACTGAATCCGTCTTGTTTACATTAGCAGTCAATTAATAGATAAACTTGGCTTCTAAGGTGAAAAGAAAATACAATTATTTTCTGTAAGAATTATGTCGAAGAAGAAGAAAAAAGTTTTCATTTAGAAAGGGATATCGATGAAGTATAATGGTGCTATGTATAAGGGATGCGGATTTTTCCTACACAACTCTATATTTATATACTGTACATGGTATTAAATATTTTAGATTTTTACATTAACATTAACATTTAGACATTCCATGTATAAAAAAAAATTAAAACTAAAAACGATGTATATTCGGACCAATTTTTTTTTCTTTAATGAGTAAAATTCACTTCTGATTGAAAATTTTCTAAGATCGACAAATTTAATTAAAAATTAAGAATCACAGATCGTTCACTCTTTGTCATACCATACAATATATTTGATTGGATAGAATATTTAGAAAGACAAAAATAGAGACAGGCAGCATTTGATCAAAATTGTCAATATACATGATTTTTCAATCAAATTTACATTTTATAATAAATTTTGAAAGTATTTTTAATAATAATACACTAGATGAATTTGAATTATGTAATACCCGTAAAGGTACTTTCTCACTATTCAATTTTTTTTTTTTATCAATTTCAGTTCAACACACAGCAAGGTCACTACAGACAATTTTGTTGTATTTATAAATTTTGTATGATACACATTAAGAGAGTGTAAAAATAATTCATTACACTCCTAACACAGCACTTTTCAATTTCCGCACTAGAGAAGAAAGCACGAAGGCTTTGGTGCTTTAAGGAATCTTAGAAGATTGTCAGGATGGGTTTGGGATGAAAGGTGTGATGAGGGTCTAGGAGGCATCGGTATAGAATTCTTTCTGAGGATAAGTGGGATTTGAAGTTCTATGAGTATATGTTTGGCAAAGGTTAAAAGGATTTTGGACTGGTGTGACTGGATTTGGAGGTTAGAATGCTTGGTTGAACCCACAGTTTGATTCTGATTCAGTATAGTTGATGTGTAGATATTTGTTTTGATTTGTTCTCAAGTTGTCTTTTGTTTGCTTCTATTATTGGGAGAGGAACAGAGTATTGGCTTTCATTGAGTGTGATCCTTTTCTTGAACCGTTTCTGAATGCCAGGGATTTGCTAAAAGGTTCATCTATGTGAATAGGGCTGTATCAGGTGTCATAGTGTATACTGAGTAGAGGATGGGACAAGGATGTCACCTCGTGGAACACACACTAGTGAATGAGGAAAAGTATGTTCCGGTATTTGAAAGTGTCAGATAAGATTTTAGGATGAGGTAGTAAGTAAATGAAAGGAATGAGTTTCAAGCCCAGATGCCATTAAATACTTAAAAAATAAAATAGAAACAAATGTTTGCCTATCGCCCCCGATTACCAGGTAATGACTATGCAGTGTCTTTGGCAAAAAAGTTGTGGAAGCGGTCAGAAAGTTAGCAATATGTAGCACTGTGAGAGAAACTGTGATAAAAAGAACAGAAAATGCCAGAATTTGAAAAACAAAATTAAGACAGAACCATGTGTAAGAATGATTCTCACTGTTTTGAAAATCAAAAATAAAACCATTTTTATTGAAATTTGTAAATTGATGAACTGATTCAATCTTTCAATTGTGAGAATGCGCCTTAAACAATCTCTATTTCTTTAATGCCCTACACAAAATTTAAAAAAGATCAACACTCGGCAGACATTGCAGTTGTTGTTTTCTCACAAAACCTGAAATGTAAACAGTTGTTGCGTCACTGCGAAAAAATGAATTTTTTTAAATAGAGAAATAATCATAAATAATTAAAAGTAAATTGCTAAATGTTTTTATATTTTCTATTGAATGACTAGAATATTAAATTTGGAATTTTTTAATTTTAATTACATTTAAGTTTTTTATCAAATTCAAACTATCTAGTGTATTATATCGCAATTTGTCAAGTCTTTCTCTTACTTTGGAGATTTACTTCTTTGTCCAGCGGGGGTCGTTGCCAATCTAGGCTAAAACGATTTGGTAATGATCAAATTAATTTTTGTCACTGTAATGTATATTGACCAAAAGCTGACTTCTTTTAGATTCGATATGATCCAGCAAAGTGACAACATTTTTGTAGTATAAATTGTTTTAGAAAACTCATTAAAAATTATGTTAGAAAATGTAAATGTCTTTTTTTTATGATATTCTCAAGTTAAAATTTAAAAACCTAACGTATATTTTTATTTGTCGTTTTCACTGCCTTTGAGTGTTTGTGATCATCTTGAATATGTATAAAAATTCTTCCTTCATTTGAAGTAACTCTTAGGAAATTAAACGGTTTTAAATGTGTAACATATACGTGTAAAATATTACAAGGAATCTTGTGCTTATGATCGGTGTGTTTTTGATATTTAATGGTTGTACATATGTAAACGGATATATTATTATGGGTGATTATATATATCAAAATAGTTACGGTCAGTCAGATGCAACAACATAGTCATTTTTTATATGAAATCATATTTTTCATGTAAATAGTTTTTATTAATTATTTATTTGAAATTTAGTTTATGTAATGTTTATACATTTTAAACGTTAAGGTAATTTATTTACTCTCGTTTATTTATAAGTATTCACACAATAATTCAATTTTGTAATTTAGGTCTATGTATAGGCTGTGGTAAATGTGTGTGGGCGTAACAAATAAAATTTAACTTCTGTAGATGTATGTTTTTCTCTCTATTTCAAAACAATAACTCGATGTCCATTTTATAAAAAGCCTTGTTGTTAAATAATTGTTTTTTTTTTTTAATTATTTACTCTTTATATGTTGATATTGTTTAAAATTGCAATAGTCTTGTGTTTTTTGATTTTCTTCTTTGTTATTTTTTTTTCTTCTATTTAATCAATTAATTCCATACATTTGTTAACTATGCATAATTGCTTTCCTGTGATATAACTAGTGCATGGCAATTATTATTTTCACAATTTATATTAATTGTAAAAGTGACAAAAATTTGTTAGCTTCGATATACATTTTGTATGTAAACTATTTTCATATATGATTTATAAACACTGTATACAAGTAACAAATTGATTATAAGTGTTAAATAAATATGACTGAGTGTTGAAGCCTGTTGTTTCATACGCACAAGAACACCTCAAATCAGACATGAACATATTTGAATTTCAACTGAACTTTCCAGCCTTCTAAGTACCAAAAAAGAAACGGACAGGAAATAAAATCATCAGTTGAGGAAGATATTATCTGTTGATGATGGATCCAGGACGCAAAAAGGTACAGGGAACCTATTTGGTTTGGGTCCCCCCGAAATCAAATATTCTGAGGGAATGTACACCACTCTCTCTGAGATATGTAGTCAATTTGTTTGAAACAGGGTATATAAAGATAGCATGTTAAAACAGTGCTGAAGAAATTAAAGATGAGATGATGTATTGACCTGCTTGTTGAACAACTTGAACAAAAGTTATCACCACCGCACCAGACCGCATCTCACGATTTCTGAATAATTATCGATTAACGGTCACTAATCACCACACACTTGAACAAAAGGATCTTCAGAGAGAGGTCACAACAGAAAAGACAAACTCTTTAAGTCTTTGCCGAGCTTTCGACGATTATATCATCATCATCAGTGCCTGTTCATTGTTTTAGATACTGAGCTTCACCTAATTTTAATTATTATTATTATTATTATTATTATTATTATTACATATGCAGTTTCTTGTTCTCCAGATGTATTTAAACACTCTTCTAGTTAAACAATTAATTAAGGTTTTTAGTTGAGATGAAAAAAAAGCTAATGGCACGAGAGGGATTCGAACCCACGACCTTCAGCTAGATACGCCGCTGCTCTACCACCTGAGCTATCGTGACCTCGATCCACTCGGACATCAACTCCCCATCTCAACCCCACCTTATGAGTTTTCCCTCCTTTTGCCATTTTTCATTCTAGTTAAAGTAAGATAAATAATTGTTTTTTGTAATTCTGTTTTTTTTTAATGATATAACATGTTTCTAACAGTGATATTTTGCTAAAATAAATAGGCCCTGATGATGATGATATAACCATCGAAAGCTCGGCAAAGACTTAAAGAGTTTGTCGTTTCTGTTGTGACCTCACTGAAGATCCTTTTGTTCAAGTAGTGCTGAAGAAATTTTTTTTGTCTTTATGGATTTTATATAATACAATTTATAAAAGTGGGGAAAACATCATTCAATTACCTCAGCGCTTTAAGTGACTTAGGGGATTGTTGGGAAGGGTTCGGTATGATAGGTGTTCGACTAGGGGGTGGGATGTTTTATTGGGGTGACTATATCGACTTCTTGCAGTTTCACAGGCAAATGAGATTTAAATGTCCGAGGGGATAGGATGAATACAAAGCAGGAAGCTTGGACGATGGTTTGAAGGAGTTGTTGAATTAAGCTTGTGTTTTTTAGTAACAAATCTAGGACAGAGAACAGAAACTAGGATGAATCCCCAAAACCAAATATTTCCCATGGGCACCAGTATCTTTGAGACATAAATTTATTTATTTAGTTTACAGACAAAGCCTATTAAAATTATACAACAGTTACAAATATAATTCGAAGAGCTAATATAGAGATTCATTACAAAACATAAATGTTAATATAAACGAAGATGAGGTCAATGTAAATTCTTCTTTTTTCCAAAGTTAAGATATCAAAGGAATCCAAAATATTAAAGTAGTCGTGTATAGCCCAAGGAATTTTAAGTTTGTTGGCTGCATATCTTAGAAATTTATTCTGAACCTTTTCTATTTGTTGGATTTTTTTTTTTTTTTTTTGTAGTGTGGGGACCAGATAACACAGGAATAATCAAGATAGGATCTAACAAAGGAAGAGTAAAGAATTTTGAGGGTTTTCGAGTCAGTGAATTCACTAATTAGTCTGATTATGTTCCTGTGAGGATGTATTTGTGATATGGGTAATTGGTTGGTCAAATATTTTAGACAGATCAGTATAGATTGTGTCCAATTGGTAATTACTTTTAAGTGAATTGATTATTGCAGATTAAAGAGTGAGGAGGTTTGATGTGGTAGATTTATGGGCCACGAAGCCATGTTGCTCATCAACGATGAGGTGTGTTATTACCCTTGTAATTAAGGGTTGATATTGTCATACACCATTGATTCAAACAGTTTGCTTATATGAGAAAAAGTTTGGAAATGGCACAGTAATAAGATATTAGAGACTTGTATCCGGACTTAAAGATGGGAACAACATAAGACAATTTCCAGGCATCAGGAAATATACATGTTTCAATCGATTTGAGTAGGATAGTTAGAGGCGCAATTATGGAGGAACTGCAGTTTTTTTAGGAAAATGGCAGGGTTGCTTTCAAAGACTAATGAGATCTATGTGGATAGGTATATGAAGTAGACTGCTTGTTGAAGGATTTTGGACTGAAGCGACTGGATTCATTGGAGGTTGGAATGCTTAGTTGAAACTACTAATCTCAGCATCCAGCCATCACTTGTTTCTGTTGCTCTGACTCTAATCATGTGCCACCGACGTCTGCAGTATCCAGTCAGCAGTGTTACGATTGCTTTAGTCCTGATACATTCTAGGTTTAGTGTCTAACTGTGAAGTCTGGCTCTTTATTGCATTATTTTAATCGTCCACTTTTTGGGTGTTGAAGCACTGGTGTCCCTGGAGTTTAGGAAGGTTTATTCTTCTTCGTAGTGATATCTGGCTTGTTTTTGCTGCTGTGAGTCTATATGCCTCCAGAGTTGCAGTGTCCCATTCTAGCTCTACCACTGCCACCAGTTCGTCTAAGTGTGTAGTTAATAAGCTCTTTGTTGCATCCCTACATTTTGGGCCATATGTAAAGGCAAGTGGTTTTGAAGGTTTATGAATGACGGGATTTTTATGCAGAGAAAAGATTGCTTGTCAGACAAATTAGAGAGATTGTTTAGAGTGAATGTCAGCAGTACATATCGTGTAAAGGAGAGGTTCAACAACGCTCTCATGTAGGACACTAGCTTGGAAAAGATAGAAGGATATCGCTGTTCTAACTCTGCAGTAACAGACAGTTACAATTTTAAGAATATCCTTTTGCTTTCACGAGAGGCCTGGGTGCCTGTCTTCTGTTCAAGATCGAAATCAATTACACATCCCGATTGATGGATTGTGGAATTAACTGTTGTCTCGGAATAGTTTCTTGGAATCTAATGATGAGATAGGCGTTTTAATAGGAGCTCTTCGAGAATTTTACTCATTACAGGAAGAGACTGATGAAGGAAGATGGACTGGTTTCGGTTGGGTTATGGAGAAGAATGAGTGAAAAATTCTTGGCGGGGGTAAAAAGTTCTTGGACGGAGTTTAAAAATGTTTGCAATATTTAATTAAAGTTGAATTTCATACGATCATTAATATAATTATTTTTAATGTCTGTCTTAGGAATGGAAAAATTGTTGCTGCCCGAACAGGTCTGCGTTTTTTCACCCTTCCGGTCTAAATTTTACACCTCTTGTTTTTCTGTTTTTTTCCATGATGTTGCCGTTATCTGTTCCATTTCTTCGCTGTCAACACCGAGTTCGAGTTTTTCCTTGGTTTGAGAATGGACGATATTAGTTTAAATTTTAACAAAACGAAGTTGCGTTATCCCTCACCTTTTAGAATTATACAGTTACCGATTACACAACATAATTATACAAAATGAAAAAGTTCCAAGAGAAAATGTGGACAAAATTGTTCAAAGACGTAGTTTACGGCACGGCAAGGAAATTTTTTTATACGTGCCTCTAGAAATCAGGACAAAAATGTTCAGATCAATTGTGTCTTACACAACTTCCTCCTGGAAACAGAAAGATTAGACATGTTTAGTGAAATGACTGTCATTCATGATCATTTTTTTAGAAATGGGAATGATACTAAAAAAAGGAAGACTTGCCATTGACCCAATACATCACCAGTCTATCCCCAAGCGGTACCTGAATGTCTCCTTTTTTTGACAAACCGTATTTTCCGGTCCAAACTTTTTTTTTCTCCGACGGATAACAGGATCCGATGTGGGCCGGTCCTCAGATAAGAAATAGTGGATGACCACGATTAACCGGTTTGTGAGCTTGGGTTATTAACCCACGCCGTCCTAAGGCAACGACAATCGGAGTGTGTCTGTCATTCCGAGCACTTCCTTTTCTACGGAGAAAGGTAAGCAGCAGCGACGACTATTGCCCTCTTCACCTTCTGCTTCTATTTACGATTAGAAACGTGGATGATATTTTATAAATTTAGACATCCAGGTTTTCATTTTCCCAAACACTCCGCAGAAAAATTTTAACAAATAAGCAATCAGACATCCTCGAAGCAAATTTTTTTTTTGACTCTATATGCCCAACCATTCCTTAAGAATACAGACGTATTTCCCCTAACATGCTTCTTTTTGATTATCATGCTCGAATTAAGTACGGATTTTTGGTTTCCAATACAATTGTTAAGAATAATTATGATATTTCGTACCTGCCAGTTTCAATATGTCGGGCCCATTGTAAAACGCATCTAATTTGCGGAATTTATCATTTTGGACATCCGGGAAGTTGAAAAGAGCCAAATTATTTATTGTAATTTTTTTTCGTAATCCTAACAATGACAAAGGATGGCTACAGACAGGGAACACCGATTTCAATGGAACTTTTTTTGTGATACTAGGTCGAAAAATATTAAACCCCTGTCCGAGTCATTGTGCACTAGGAGCAAAGAATTTTTTTTTAGAAATTTAAACATATTTCAAGATTATTATATAAGCCAGTTTGTTTTGTGACTTAGAATAAGAATATAATAAGCATTGTTGTATTAAATTAGATCAAATATTAAAAAAAGTTTAAGAAAACAAAATAAAACGAAAAGACGCTCTCAGTAATATAGGATAGAAAACATTATTTTGTAGAAAAGCAATTCGGATTTCTTATACGCACTTTTTAAAGACCATAAATATGAATTTTTATAGCAATCGAAAGATTAATTTTTATACTGGATCAGAATGGTAATGTCTTTCTCCTGTGTCCCAGTTTTCCCCTTAAAAATGCTTAACTCCTCTAAATTTTACCCAAATTCAATGTTATTACATCAGGTAGACAAGTGGAACAATTTCAAAGTCATCCACATTTTTGTGATTTTCGAAAAAAAATAGCAGGTAAAGGGGGGAAATTTTAAGGAAAAAAATATTTTTTGATTTTATCTAAAATTTATATCGAAGGAGGGTTTTTCGAGGGTGCAAAAGACGAATAACGACTTTATTTCTCGCTAAAAATTTAAAAAAAATTTTAAAAAAATATTTTAACATACTTTGCTTAGTCAGGCGGTCACAACTGTATTTGACAGCTAGTAGGGCATAGTTGTTCGAAAAAAATTTTTGTGATCATGCGACGTAGAACACAAAGTCAATGTCTGTTTTTCGCATCCCAAAAAGTATTTTTTTCCCTTCAAATTTTCTGCTAATTATGTTCTGGAACATTCATAACCAAGGATTTTCGAGGGTGCGAAAAACGAATATCGACCTTTTTTATCGCTAAAAAATAGTTTAAGTTAGGAGGGTGGCCATAGTTGATCGAAAAACAAATTTGTGTCCATACGACGTAGAAACAAAGTCGATATGTTTTTTTTTGCATCCTAAAAAAACTGAATAAAAATTTTTGGTAGTCAAATAATATTTTTCTTCACTTAAAATTTCATGCTAATAATTATTTCTGCTAATCATTTTCTTGAAAATTCATAATCGAGTCATCGAGGGTGCGAAAAATGAATATCGACTTTATTTATCGCTAAAAAATATTTTAAGTTAGGAGGGTGGCCATAGTTGATCGAAAAACAAATTTGTGACCATGCGACATAGAAACAATATCGATATCTTTTTTTTGCATCCTAAAAAAACTGAATAGAAATTTTTGGTAGTCAAATAATATTTTTTTTCACTTAAAATTTCATGCTAATAATTATTTCTGCTAATCATTTTCTTGAAAATTCATAATCGAGTCATCGAGGGTGCGAAAAATGAATATCGACTTTATTTATCGCTAAAAAATATTTTAAGTTAGGCGGGTGGCCATAGTTGATCGAAAAACAAATTTGTGACCATGCGACATAGAAACAATATCGATATCTTTTTTTTTTGCATCCTAAAAAAACTGAATAGAAATTTTTGGTAGTCAAATAATATTTTTTTCACTTAAAATTTCTTGCTAATAATTATTTCTGCTAATCATTTTCTTGAAAATTCATAATCGAGTCTTCGAGGGTGAAAAAAAACTGATATCGAATTTATTTATCGCTAAAAAATATTTTAAGTTAGGAGGGTGGCCATAGCTGATCGAAAAACAAATTTGTGATCATGCGACATAGAAACAATGTCGATATCTGCTTTTTCCATCCCAAAAAAACTGAATAGAAATTTTTGGGAAGGTCAATTTTTTTTTCGCTTACAATTTCTTGCTAATAATTATTTCTGCTAATCATTTTCCTGAAAATTCATAACCGAGAGTCTTCGAGGGTGCGAAAAACGAATATCGACTTTATTTATAGCTAAAAAATAGTTTAACATATTCTTCTAAGTGGTAGGTCGCATTGGCAGTACATCGAAAAAACAAAATTTGTCATCATGCCACGTAGAAACAAAGTCTATATCTGTTTTTCGGATCGCAAAAAACCTTTGAATACAAATTTTTGAGGAAATGAAAAAAATCGCCTTAAAATTTCCTTCTAATTATGTTCTCGAACCAAGGGTTTTGAGGGTGAGAAAAACGAATATCCTTCCCGTTTTAAAAATGACTCCGATTTTACCGAAAATCACAAAACTGTTGATAACATATAAACTAGAGGCCACACGGTTTAGGCCCAGCATTCGAACCCGACGTAATTACTTTTTTTTCCAAAAACACCGGCACCTCGGGGGTTGATATTTTCCCTGCTGTTGCGAATCCTTGTAAATATTTTTTTAAATCCACTTCCATCAACTACTTCACAAATCTACAGGAAACTGTACATGGGTTTAGGGCCCTGCAAACTATCCATAATGGCCAAATTTTGGCCTCCGTAATTAAATCACAACCGGATATATAAAATAAAATGTTTGAAGTTTTTGTAAAATTAAACAATAATTTTATCGCTTACAATGTCATATAGTCTAAATATTGTTGAGCCGCCTGAAAGCACAAAAGTTCAACTTTACGACGTTTGGAACAAAGTTGAATTTGGATAAAATCCAGAAGAGTTATGAATTTTTAAGTCCTACAACTGTCATCGGCGAGAGAGAAAAATCCAAACCAGGTGAATTAGCCAAAAATGTCTATTCTTTTTGTTTGCTATTGAAATTCGTATTTCAAGACTTTAAACGGTGCTTTACACGAATCCGAATAGTTTTTTTACAACAAAAAATTTTTTGGCTTACTTTACTGGAAGTGACTTTTCGGTTTTGGTAACAATTTATATCAGATCTCATTTAATACGATCCTGCTTATTATTTTCTTATCCTAGGTCAAAAAACAAATCTTCTGTACAATCACCTTGAAATGCATAACGAAGACTGAAAGCAATATTTAAATTATATTTGTTACAGAAAATTTAAGCTCCTAACATTGATTGGGACGAAAGTTCGGACTCGAATCTTACTTTTTTTTTAAAAATCTTAACATTTTTCTGCCTAGTTTCACCAAAAAGAGTTTAGGTAAAAATCTCTTATCCCAGGTCCGTAGCTCCCCCTTGTGAGTTAATCAGCATTCCGACCATAGTAAGATTCCTACTTTCCAATTTTGATATTCTTAAGGTGTAATTCCATTGTCCCAGGTTGTCTCCCAGTGGCATTGAACCGACTATATAAACTCTTTCCAGCCGGTAGACAAGCTTTCAGTTCGCCAAACATGTTGAAGTGGTCATTGTGCGCCTTCGTCTTCCTCAGCATCGTCGGAGTGAGCTACGTATCATCAAGTGAGTTATTAAAAAAATATAATGTTGCTATGAAGTCAATGTGATTCGGAAGTTGTTTTTTCCCCAAATTAAAAATCCATCTTCGCTTCCTCGGACGACGTTTCGTGGCTGGGGGAGATTTCAGTGCCAAACACCCACGAGTCGCAAATTCCCGTTGACGTCTCCTCCAAAATATAATATTTATAGAAAATTATTCCTTAATCTATCATAACCAACTCGCCTATTGCTTTTTTTAACGCCAATCGTTTCCCAGATTTCTTTGTCTGGCGTAGGATCCATCTTCACATCAATCCAATGCTTAAGTGGCTCACTAATCACTCTCCAGTACTCCTTACTCTAAACAATCACCAAACCAACGAAAAACAATTCCCCAGAACCAATTCGGCTTCCGTCCCCACCATTCTACGATCCAACAAGATTTCAGAGTTGTCGACACCATCTCCTCTGCTCTTGAGAACAAAGAACAAGCTGGGGTGCGTTCTTAGATAGACTTTTGATAGGGTCTGGCACTCAGGTATGCTTTACATACTTAAATCGTAATGATTCAGGGCAACGAGTTTTCGGAAATCAGACCGATATAAGCTGGCGTCCCGCAAGGGAGCTTTCTTGGTCCCATCCTTTATATCATATGTACTTCCGACCTACCTGCACACCTCAATACGATCATCACTACCTGCGCGGAAGATACCGTAATTTTGTCCTCTAATTCGAATCCTATCAAAGTTACCTCCAATATCCAAGAACACCATGAGTATATCGAAGACTAATGCAAAATGTGGAGGATAAGGCTAAATGGAAAAAAAATGTATTCAGTGTACATTCACATTAAAAAAACAGCACTGCCCTCCACTGTTCATCAACAATAAAGAGATACAGACTTTCACTCAAGTCAAAAACCTAGGACTATACTAGACAGCAAAATGACGTGGAACCCCCATATAAGACTTAAAAGACTACAACTACGAAGACTTCTAGGACTGAAATCCGTCAAAACTAAACTAACCTTATACAAGACTTTTGTGCGACCATTTTAGACATACAGAGTGGAACTGTGGGGTTCTGCCAAACCATCCAGCATCAACGCATCCAATCCTTCAGAATCTAAAGTCCTCAGACAAATCGTCAAAATCTCCTTACTACATCACTAATCTCACTATCCACACCGACCTCAACATTCCTTTTGTTAGCGAACTGATCACTCAACTGATCATTTGGTAGTCGTTTATAATCATTTTTGTCTGACTATATTCGCTGTCAGATGCGTTTTTGCTTGTCGCTATCTTTAATGATGGGTCTGTCAGGAGCGTTCAGATCATCTGGCCGTGTTCTATTGGAAGGTACAAGACGAGTTTCAGCTTTTTGCGTTTCTCAGAGATCTCCCTGCTTCTCGACATCTCCAGAGGGTCTGTCAGGACCGTTGATACAAAACAGCAATGATAGACAAGCTAAAGTGATGAGAATAAAGTAAAATGCAGGTTCATCAGCCTACAGACTCGTCCGAACTTCCATCAGAAGTACAATTTAATTTGAGAAATTGGAATTCAGAATGGTGTCCTAAAATGTTTAGATGCAGCAAGGGTGGTTTGCTACTTCAGTAACTGGGCCGTGTATCGCCCGGGAATCGGCAAGTACACGATAGACGACATACCTGGCGACATGTGCACTCACGTCATTTATTCTTTCATCGGAGTCAGCAACGTCACCTGGGAGTACCTCGTGCTCGACGAAGAGGTAACGGCGAACCACAAACTTACAACAGGCAAACTGAATTGTTTTCATTGCAGATCGACGTGGAGCAGAACGGATTCAGCAATTTCACTAAGCTTAAGACCAAGTATCCTCACCTGAAGACTTCCGTCGCTGTCGGCGGCTGGGGCGAAGGAGGAAGAAAATACTCACAGTTGGTCTCCGTCAAACAGAGGAGGGACGGCTTCATCAAAAGTGTCGTTGGTAAGTGACAAAACTAACCATTTCTTTTGCTGTGTCGATCACGCAGACGAAACTAAATATCCGCTTTTTTTATTGATCAGTTAAAATCAACGTCCAGCGTCGTTGGCTGTCGTGGACGAGGTGTCCGACCACTTTACAATACTTTTTTTCCAATTAGTCTCAAATAAAATTCCAAGGCGAACCAGGTTTTAGCCTGACAGATTCGTTTCGGTTCTTTACCATCATCAGTGGTGGTTTAGTGTGTTTACCATGACATTCAAATAGAACGAATGATTGGAAGTAAAAAGCACAGACTCAATCCATAAAAAAAAAATAGTAGACAATGAAAAAACGGCCACTCTCTATTCACCTTTATTAAAGAACATATAAAAGGGAACATACTAAATCACACTGTTGAAAGCGAAATGTCCAAATATAGGACGCACACTAAAAAAGAGCAAAAGATAAGTAAGCAACCATGACATAGATTGCACATTTGGTCCTCATATCAATTTTATATCGACAACCTGCTAGCTGTCCCGTTCACTAACTAACCTTTGGGAACTTTGAAGGGTGTTGACATTTTCCTTATCCAACGTCCCGGTCACTAACTAACCTTCTTTCTCCACTGCCTCGCTCCATCTTTCCGAGTCCTCCACACCCTAAAGCCATCTCAAATGTGGTCTTCTCATGGTCTCTTACCCCTGCGATATCCACCATAAGCTCTCTTTGTCTAGATTCATAACATTAGTTTTTCTTATCCTGTACGGCTCCGTTCTCCACAACTGGCCCAGAAAATAACCCTCTGCACTTTATTTCTTTTCTTCCAGCAGTCACGGCCCAGATATACAAATGTAATCATCACAGGTGTGATGAACTTTTTATATATGGCGATACTTTTTTGTATGCATTCCCGTGGAAATTGGCGTTTTAATTATAATTTATATAATAACATGATTGATGCCAGTTCCGCATTAGTTACAGATTCAGATCGTGGTTTTTTTCAGATTTTATGAACAAATACGGTTTCGACGGTTTCGATTTGGACTGGGAGTACCCAGGCGCGGCCGACAGGGGTGGAAGCTTCTCAGACAAAGACAGATTTCTATATTTCGTCGAAGAACTGCGAAGGGCGTTCGACGCGGAAAATAAAGGATGGGAACTGACCATGGCAGTGCCCCTCGCCAAGTTCCGTCTCAATGAAGGCTACCACGTTCCAGAACTCTGCGAGTAAGTAAAATAAAAATTAAATAATCAACTAACATTTTATCATTCGAAATTCCCTTAGCATCTAGAAACGAAAATAAACGAACAAAAAATAAGTCGATATTAATTATTGAAAGTTCGTCAATATCCTTGAGATCTTAGTTATTTATAATTGCATGTCTTTTAATTACTTTTAATTTTTTTTGTAAATTTGGCATATACACATGGCCATGAAAATACTTTTTATTGGTATGATCGGAATTTATTGTTATTATCTCCACCTCAGGCATCCAAACGTTTGTTGACAAACTGTCCAGCATCTAGTTTTTATTTTTTATTTACAGTTTAAATAAGTATCAATCAAATTCAGCACCACTGAGTCTGTAAATATTTACGTCATTTTAATTATTTTTTTGTGAAACGAGGTCAAAAAACAAAAAATGTTAGATACAAATCCAAACATTCTTACCAATGGACCATAGAAGCAATATATATATATANAGAGAGAGAGAGAGAGAGAGAGAGAGAGAGAGAGAGAGAGTATGTACATATTTTTTCAAAGTAATTGAAGCATGTATTTCAAGACAATTATATGCTTTTAGTCGTTGTTGTGTATATATTTCAAGGTTATTGTATATCAGCCAATTAGTTTTTGATCTAGAATAAGAAAATAATAAGCAGAATCGTATTAAATGATAATAGTTATATAAAAAGTTAAAAAACAAAACAAAAAAAAAGCTTTCAGTAAAGTATGCCAAAATCGTTTGCTGTAAAAAAACTATTCGGATTGGTTTAAACCACTCTTTAAAACCCTGAAATACGAATTTTCTTAGCAAACAAAAAATAGACTTTTTTGGCTGGATTCACATGGAATTTTTCTCTCGCCGATGACTCACAACACGACGCAGAAGAATGACACATCTACACGGAAAACAAACACTTTAGCTCCGAAGATGATCTCAATAAAGATCGAAACGTTGGCACGATAAAATGTTTTTCTAAAACCTACGTCAGACCAGACCTCATCTAACGATTTCCAAATAATCATTAAAAATTCCTAACTCTTCTGACTTTTATCAAAATCGAATTGTTTTACAACCGTCGTAAAGCTGAACTTTTGTGTGTTCAGGTTAGTCAACAATGTTTAGAATAAATGACACTGTAAGTGATAAAATTAATGTTCAATGTAACAAAAATTCTTCAAACATTTTATTTTATATCTCCGCTTGTGATTTAATTAGGGCGAGCAAGTTGGTGCCATTATCGGTAGTTTACAGGGCCCTAAAGTCCAAGTTTCCAGTTGATCCGTGGAGAAGTTAATAAGCTATTAACAGTTGTGTTATTTGGGGGGAAAATCGGTGGCATTTGTTAAGTAGGAAATTTTAAGGGAAAAATTTTATTTTTCAATTTTCCCCGAAATTCGTATTCAAGAGGTTTTTCGGGTGCGAAAAACCAATAACGACTTTGTTTCTACACAGGGTCACAAATTTTGTTTTTCGGTCAACTACGACCCCCTGCTAGCAGTCAAATAAAGTTTTGACCGACCGTTAAACTATTTTTTCTTTTTTTAGCGAGAAATAAAGTCGATATTCGTTTTTCGCACACCAAAAAACTCTGGAATACAGATTTTCATGAAAATCAAAAGCTGTTTTTCCCCTTTAAAATTTCCTGCCTTCCTTTATCGCATTTAATATGACTTAGAACAGTGTGTTAAAAAATAGCGAGAAATAAAATCGATGTTCGTTTTTGGCACCCTCAAATAACCTTGGTTATGAATCATCTGAAAAATAAACAAAATAAATTCCCCTATCTTTTCATGGCATTTTTTTGAAAATCATAAAAATGTTGATAAGTTTGAAACTATTCCACTGATCCAAATGATACTTTATAATAATTTAGAACTTTATTAACTCCAGGTAATGGCGTAACTTCGTCTTCGGTTAATAAATCTGAATTGTAGATGTAAAATGAAACGTTAGAGCAATTTTTTTTATTTCATCCTTATGTTTCTCACTTATAATGGCATAAAGTAGAAACATTGTTGTCATAAGCTCAAAATACAGCAATCGAGCTTCAAGCGGTTGTAATAACTTTCAATTTGTGTAAAACCTAGAGGAGAACGAATTTTTAAGAGGAAAAAGAGTACACCGGAGAAAAAAATTAGCAGCCCCCGTCTGATGCAGCCCAAAAATTTATATTTTGTTTCCTATAAAAATTCATATTTAAGGGCTTTAAAAGAGCCTAAAACGAATCCGAATTTTCTCAAAAACAATTCCTATTTTTCTGAAAGGTTCTAAACCCTAGTAAAGTTTGTTATATATCAGTGGTCATTTTTCTGATTGTCGATTACAAAAATTATCAAAGAAGTTTTTGGAGAATTGACTGAAGTTTTATGAAATGTAGAAAGCATTTTTGAACTGTAGCAAGCATATACAAGCTTAGAAAGGTATTCTGACCTCTTTACATCGTTAAGAGCTAAGCAGATAGTGGACTTAACAACTTTTCCAACACAAGGCGTTTAATCCTTCTTTAGATTGACATCAAGAAAGGGTTTTTTGTGTGGTGATTAGTGACCGTTAATCGATAATTATTCAGAAATCGTGAGATGCGGTCTGGTGTGATGTAGGTTTCAGAAAAACATTTTCTTTATCGTGNTTTGAGTGAGTAGAAATACATTGATTGAATATAAAAAATATATTTTGCATTGTATAAATTCACTTTTCCACATCCTAAATGTATTTGTTAAATGTAAACAATGTTCGTAAATCCTAGGCCCTGAAGATGATCTTAATAAAGATCGAAACGTTGGCACGATAAAGAAAATGTTTTTCTGAAACCTACATCACACCAGACCGCATCTCACGATTTCTGAATAATTAAAGGGTTTTTTTTAACCCAGTAGTTTAAAAGGTTTCTTACTATCTATATTTGGTTCCTGCCTTTTTGTAAATATGTACCGTTATAATCAACTCATTGAAAATTAAATAATCGGTTTTTTTATTTTATTTATACCGAAGTGTCAGTGAAGGATTGACTCTGAAGTCTGATGAACCTGTATTTGGTCGTTACCGATCATTTTCCTCTGCCTATCTTCGTTGGTATGACGCGTTCCGACATGAGCCATCTTCACAACCTGACGAGGTGAGCTCCTCTGCTCTGCTCAGGCATTTTGTTAAGCACCAATTTGCACCCAAGGGTACTTCAGGGCCTCGGTGGATGATATCTCAAGGAAACAGTAGAAGTCGAATAGTGTTTTGAAGTTTTAAAAAATTAATTTGAAATTAAATATAGGCTATCTTGAAGTTTAATAAGGGTTAATTTGAAATTAAAAAAAGATTAAATGAAGTTTAAAAATTAATTGGAAATAAAAACAACTTTAAATTTAAAAGGGTTAATTTGGAGTTTAAAAAAAACAATTCGAAATTAAATGTAGGTTGATATGAAGTTTAAAAGAGTTTATCTGAAATAAAAAGGGAATTTAAAAATTCAAAAAAATAATTTGAAATTCAATATAGGTTAACTTGAAGTTTAAAAGGGTTAATTTGAAATTCAAAAGGTTAATTTGAAGTTAAAAATTATTGAACAATTAAAAAGTTAACGAAGTTTAAATGGATTGATTTGAAATTAAAAAGGGTTTATTGATAGTTTAAAAAATTAATATAAAATTAAATATAGAATAACTTCAAATTTAAAACAATTAATTTGAAAATAAAAACGGTTAATTTAAAGTTTAAAAAAATAATTGGTAATTTTAAAAAGTTAACGAACTTTAAGAAGATTAATTTGAAATTACAAAAGGTTAGTTTAAAATAAACGGTGTTAATTTGTAGTTTTATGAGATTAATTTGAAATGAAATATAGGTTAACTTGAAGTTTAAAAGGGTAAATTTGAAATTAAAAAGGTTAATTTGAAGTTTAAAAATTACTGAAAAATTAAAAATGTTAACGAAGTTTAAATGGATCGATTTAAAATTGAAAAGGGTTTATTTATAGTTTAAAAAAATTAATATAAAATTAAATATAGGATAACCAAATTTAAAACAATTAATTAGAAAATAAAAAGGGTTAATTTAAAGTTTAGAAAAATAATTGGTAAGTTTAAAAAGTTAACGAACTTTAAGAAGATTAATTTGAAATTACAAAGGGTTAGTTTGAAATAAAGTGTTAATTTATAGTTTTATGAGATTAATTTGAAATGAAATATAGGTTAACTTGAAGTTTAAAAGGGTTAATTTGAAATTAAAAAGGTTAATTTGAAGTTTAAAAATTACTGAAAAATTAAAAAGTTAACGAAGTTTAAATGGATCGATTTGAAATCGAAAAGGGTTTATTATTTATTATTTTTATTTATTTATAGTTTAAAAAATTAATTTAAAATTAAATATAGGATAACCACATTTAAAACAATTAATTAGAAAATAAAAAGTGTTAATTTAAAGTTTAAAAAATTAATTTGTAATTTTATAAAGAACGCACTTTAAGAGGATTAATTTGAAATTAAAAAGGGTTAGTTTGAAATAAAAAGAGTTAATTTGTAGAATTATGAGATTTATATTATAATTAAATATAGGTTAATTTGAATTTTAAAAAGGTTGATTTGAAGTTAACTTAAAACTTAAATTTAATATTAGATTTAATTTAAATCTAACTTGAAATTTAAAAGAATTAATTTGAAATTAACTAGAGTTAGTTTGAAATAAAAAGGGTGAATTTGAAGTTTAAAAAATAATTTGGAAGTAAAAAAGCTTAATTTGAAGCGAAAAAGTGTAATTTGACAGAAAAAATGTAAATAAACCTCGATAGACCAATGTTATATTTTTGGGCTAGGTGTGGTCTTTAAAGAAATCATCATCATTTATGTGGCTCAGTCCATAGATAAAGAATTTCGCCGTCTTCAGTGTGATTGTTGCCAGTCAGTCGTTCAGACACACTGCAGAATGAAATGCTAAAACAGCCGACTAAATATGGATTATTTTATAGTAATTTGGATGCTGTCCATGTCATGGCCTATGATTTGAGAGGCAACTGGGCCGGCTTCGCTGATGTCCACAGCCCCCTTTACAAACGTCCTCACGATCAGTATGCTTATGAGAAACTGAACGTCGTAAGTAGGCCTCATCTAAATTTTAAAATTTCCTTCTACAATTAAAACAATTTCCATGCTCATCCCTCAGAACGACGGCCTTCAACTCTGGGTGGACTTCGGGTGTTCTCCGGATAAGCTTGTCGTAGGAGTGCCGTTCTACGGAAGATCCTTCACTCTCAGCCAGGGCAACACCAACCACGGTCTTGGTACCTACATCAACAAGGAGGCCGGAGGCGGCGCACCTGCTCCATTCACGAAAGCGAAAGGATTTTGGTCGTATTATGAGGTCGGGGTTGATCACAAAAAAAAATGCTAATATATTGGACAATTTTATATTAATTTCTTTTAGATATGTATGGAGTTGCAAAAAGAAGACGGTGGATGGACTCAGAAATGGGATGACGCTGGGTACTGCCCTTATGCATACAAAGGTATCCAGCATTGTACCTTTAAAATGTGTTATAATAGTTGATGATAGTTTGGTTGTTTCTGATAATCCTGGTTTGTCTATGTTCGTTGTTTTCATCTGTCCTCAACGCACCATCTTCTGCCTATTTTCGCTGTTTTTTTTTTTTTCTTTTTAAAGCTGGAACACGTCCAACAGACCAAAGCATTGAGGATAGGTGGAACATCCAAACGAAATGTTATGTCTAGTTTGCTATCTTCCTACGATCAGGATTTACGGAGATGATCAAATTATAGTTACATCAGTCCCTTCGTAATTTCTTTTATATCCAAGGAACTCAATGGGTTGGGTATGAGAACACGACGAGTTTGAAGATAAAAATGGATTGGTTAAAAACAAAGGGATATGCTGGCGCTATGGTTTGGGCCATCGACATGGACGATTTCAATGCCGTCTGCGGTGAAAAGAACCCCCTCATCAAAGTGCTCTGGGAAGAAATGAAGGACTACCACGTTCCCAAACCGACTGTCACAACAACACCCAGGGTATGCAGTTGATCATCACGCTCCTAGTCTATCTTAAATGTCTTCTTTTTTTCAGCCGGAATGGGCCCGCCCTCCGAGCACAGCATCGTCCAGTGGTTCCAAACCTAAACCGAAACCGACAACATCGAGGCCAGCAGAAACGACCACCAAAATGCCCACAACATCCATGGCCACAACATCCATGCACACAACAACCATGCACACGACGACTGACTCTTCGACGACTCTCTCTTCCACCACGGAAATGCCCTCCCCTACCTCTTCTCCCTTGCCATCACCAGTCAGTACAGAAAGTACAGTGGATTCTAGCATGGAAAACGAAAATTCAGAGCTTAAATGTTCTGTTGAAGGTTACAGCCCTCATAAGACAGACTGCAGTAAGGTAAATAATTTCTTTAGAAATATCTCTTTTTGTAGTATAGTCTATTATTACTAGTGTACTAATATAATGGGATATTTCCACGATATTCAGTGTCTCTGACTCACATTTTTCTCCATTTTTAATTGTAAGGATTTTCATCTTTTACAGTTAATCTTTCGTTTATTTTAATAAAGGGTGGAATTCATCTCAGAGATATTGTATCAAGGTTTACATTGCTCAATAGCGGCTGTCCTAAGTACCATAACCTTTTCCTAGCTATGCGTAGATTATGCTCCTCTAGACATAGTTAACATCGGTCATCAATTAATAGTTAATTAAGCCATTTTTTACCTGTTAGGGTTTTAAATTCCTTTCTGTTGAGTAGGAATTCTTTCTCCCATTGGGTTGGTTTTGCGAGTAGTCTTTCTGCATGTCACATGCCTGGCATGTGTTCTTTAGTAACCTAACATTGTCTGTTGCCTCACCTAAAATTTCCCCCACCTTAGGGTTAGGTTGTTTGTAGATTCCAGTTTTTCTAGGGTATTCAGATAAGATTTGAGTTTATCTCATAGGCTTGGAAAGCCTTTAGAGCTGCATGACTATCTAAACGTATTATTATGTATGCACCCTTGGGATTATTTATTTCTTGTGCACATGTTTCTACAGTTAGCAATTCGGGTTGAAAGTTGTGTTGGGACTGAGGGCCATGTGATGCTCTTGTCTATTTTATGCCAATTCCAACACCATTTCCCTTCTTTAAGTCATCAATACACCATGAAAGAGCTCCAGTTGTTTCTTTTCTTATCCTGCTCTCTGTTCAGTTATTATGTTGAATGGTATTTCAAAGTGTAGTATTTTAACTGATAAGAGACAGTTATTTTAACATGAAAATTTGGTATGGCCAGCTTTGTTCGATGTTTTCTTTCTGCTGGTAGATGACTCTCTCAAACACTGCCATTTATTTCCAGCCTGAGGATTTCATTGTAAATGTGTGGTTTTAATTCCACCAATGATGCTAAGGCAAGCTATTCTTTGGATTTTTTCTAATAGTTCCCCTGCCATTCTGTTCTATTTTTGACCAATATTCTGTGATCAAATGGTATGAGTATCGTAAAGACCATTAGGTCGGATTAAGCTACCACAGAGTCTTTGGCATATCCATTGTGCTCATAACCAGTACATAACCAGTCAAGAACTACTCGTTGAGTATTTTGACCACTTTAAAATGTTTTCCTGATTAAGTCTGGTTAGAGCTGTAAGATTTGGTTTCTTTTCCTGGCACCATTCACTTTTGTCTATAATATTTTGTTTATAAAAATCTCTTTAATTTATGAGGATTAAATATCATATTCTGTATACTTAACCAAGTTATTCATTTATTAAATTCACTAATTTCGTGGTCCGCTTGACCAATTAATACATTACAATTAATTAAGGTTTTTAGTTGATGAAAAAAAGTCAATGGCATGAGCGGGATTCGAACCCACGATCTTCAGCTAGATACGCCGCTGCTCTACCACTTGAGCTATCGTGACCTCGATCAACTTCCTATCTCAACCCCACCGTATGAGTTTTCCCTCCTTTTTGCCATTTTTCAAATGTCATGTAATCGGATTGGATTCTCGATGACAAATGAAATGGCCACGGAGAGCTTTAGTGAAGAGTACTTCATTTTAATTCATTAAATTCACTAATTTCGTGGTCCACTTGACCAATTAATATCTTACAATTAATTAAGGTTTTTAGTTGAGATGAAAAATGGCAAAAAGGAGGGAAAACTCATAAGGTGGGGTTGAGATAGGAAGTTGATGTCCGAGTGGATCGAGGTCACGATAGATCAAGTGGTAGACCAGCGGCGTATCTAGCCAAAGATCGTGGGTTCGAATCCCTCTCGTGCCATTGACTTTTTTTCATCTCAACTAAAAACCTTTATTAATTGTAATGTGTTATTCATTTAGATGAGTTTGCTCAAATTTAAACGTATGTAAAATAAAACAAAATTATACTAAAATCTCAAATTTCAGTATTACCAATGTGTCCATAATAAGTTGGTTCCCTTCTCTTGCAAACCCGGGACGGCTTGGAACCAGGAGCTACAAATCTGTGACTGGCCGGAGAATACAAATAGGCCTGAATGTAAGAAGGACAACAGCATTTAAAAATTTGATGTTAAATAATCAGTTTACTACAATTAGAAAACTATTGGTTGTCAATATTTAGTTTATATTTTATCTAATTAAATTAATTTAAATTATCCACTGTTTTTTTCCTACTTTACCCATTTACAGTTAAGTTAAATTATTTCTACTGCTACTGTTATATAATCCAACAAATACTATGTACATCATGCTGAGTACTGTACTGTAACTTGTACCGCTTCAATGACAAAAGGGCATAACTTTCGATTTTCTGTTCCCAGCTTTAGCCGTCTCATCAGTTTCAGCTGGGTCGGTGGTCTTTTGGAAAACAAAGGCAGACAAATTAACAAAACAAAGAAAACGTTTATTAAAATTTAAATTATTTAACACCTATTTACTAAACAGTTAAAATTTGAATATAAGTTTTTACAGAACAATATCCCATTAAAAAATTGTTTAAACATAACAATTTAAATGGTTTATAAGTAGATTTTGTATTTTCTAAACATTAACATATTTTTAATTCATCATATCCAACATTTGGCTGGCATATTTCATACACTTATGTTCCCTTAATTTTTAAAACTTTTAATGAGTGTGTTCTCATTATTTAAATATAATTAAATGTAAAATTTAAAACAGAATTCTGTTTGCTTTCACTATTAGTTTAAACATTTATGTAGTGATAGATCAGGATGATCATTGTTAATATAAAATTGTGCATTCCATCTAACATTGGTTGATAATTACATAAATGCCAAAATAAATTACATAGTGTTATTAACACATTCTTATGACTTTCAGAGTTGGCAAATGAAGCATTGTGGTTTTTCAGATTTGAATGGTTAAATTAGGTAGAGTTAAAGCTGGATTGGGTTAGGTTAGGAATGGTTAAATAAGGTAGTTAGGATTGGGTTAGGATAGGAATAGTCAAGTTAGGTAATTCATCCACAATCCGATCCAAACTACTTAATAACCAATTACAATACAAGTGGTAAATTGGTACATTATGACTTATTTTTTCTATGTGATTATTATAATGACAGAAATGATACATATAGAAAGTTTCATCTCAGACGGTGGTCTTATAAAAAAACACAAAGGCATAAAAAATATTTTAAAAAAAGGCGATGTGATTTAAAATGTTTTTAAATTAGTTAACTGCTTACTAAACAGTTAAAATTTACAGAACACTATTGCATAAAAAATTGTTCAAATACATAATTAACATAGATGTAAATTTTAGTTTTCAAAACATCCACAAATTTCAGATTTAACACATCCGCCATTTGGCTAGCATATTTCATACACTTATGTCCCCCTAATTTTTAAAACTTTTAATGAGTGTTTTCATTATTTAAATATAATTAATTGTAAAATTCAAAACAGAATTTTGTTCGCATTCACTATTAGTTTGAATGTTTATGTACTGTGATAAATCTGGATGGTCATTGCTGATATGTAATTTTAAATCCCACTCTGATATTGGTTGATAGCTACATAAAAGGCAAAATAAACTACACAAAGTGCTCACGCCTTCATTACCATTTTCAGAGTTGGAAAATGAAGCGATTGTAGATGTTTGACATGAAGAAGGGCATTTGTGAGTAGATTTATGTGCATTCAAACCAATCTCAGATTTGAATGTTTGACCACAGTAACAAATAAATTGTTTAGTCGCTGAAAATTGACAACTGATCGTTTGGCTTACAAATCGACTTTTGAATTTAACTTTTTTGCAGCATTCATAGGCATCATGATGGAGCTCATGGTGCACAATCATAAGCTTACTTTTGAATTGTGCACCACATTTACAGCAAAGATAGACATTTGCTATTTCTGTTTCTGCGTCTTGGATGGAATTCTTGCTGCATATGTTGGAAACATCATTGAGAGTATCATTGTTTAATGGACATGCTTCTTCTACTTCTAAGTTTTCATCTGATCTATTGTAATTTTCTTCAGGATCTTCTTGTCTTTCATAAACTTGTGATCCACTAGTAATATTTACTTGGACAGCTTTGGATTGTTGTTTTGATATTTGGGACTTCATTTCAACTTGACTGTTGACATTTGATCTGGCCTTTTTTATATTCGAAGTCTGGTTTCCCGACACTCTCTTCGTCCTTGAGCTGGAAACTCTATAGCCACTCCGGCTTCCATTTTGTGAGGAATTTCTCTTCGTGTCTCCAGATGCTCTCTCACACTTCGCACCCCTCTTCCTGTAATTCCTCAAATAATACATTCTCCTGGACCACAGATAAACTGGCAAAAGGTAACAAGTACCACCTACAAAATAAAATGAAATTTTTAAAAGGAAATAATTTACATAAGTATATGTTTATATTTATTGGTATTTCAGATTATGTTATTGCAAAACATAGAGAATAGGAAGATCGGGATAATTGGAAAAGCCAAACTATAAACACCAACATCCTTGAAAGCTTCAATGTCATTCCCTCTCAATTCAGGTTTAGATAACCTCTACCGTTCAACAATGCCACAGGGTTGTAGACATCACAACCCCCCCCCCATGAGGGTAATGCTACTTAGGTGCTTTCCCAAATGTGAGACAAACCTTTGATCAAATGTGGCACCCGGGCTTAATCTGGAAACACAGACATCTTTCTATTCACTTATTACCTCATCCTAAAATCCATCTATTCGATAAGTACTTTCAAGTATTGGAACACCCTTCTTCCCCAACCACTATGTCAAAGCCATCTATGCCATCCTTTCACCAAAATCCTGAAACCTTCAAAACCGTTTAGACAAACAGTTCATGAAAAGGAGGATCACACTCAATGAAATAACCATCTGCTATAACTAACTATTCCTCTCCCAGCAACCTATGTTGTATGCTATTTGGGATTTTACATCGCCAGACTTGGCTCAAAAGATTGAATAATTGAAAAGATGATTTAAACTTCTCAAAAGCCTCCTTGACATCAGATTGAAACCTCACTGCAAAATAAATTCAACGAGTGTTCCAACGATCAAAGAATACAGTCGCTTCAGTCCAAAATTCTTGGACCATTGCCCAAGATCGCTACTTAGTATCAATATTCGTAAAGACCTTTAAATCCCATTTGTCATCAAAACCACAAGAAGTCGATACAGATTCATAAAACCCTAAATGTTAATCCTGACCCCATAATTTTTCTAATTTCAACACGAATCCTTCCCGACAATTCTACAAGATATCTAAAGCTCCAATAGCTTTCCAATTTCCACCCTAGCAAGAAAAGTGATTTGTTTTACAAAAACAAAAATTAATGAATAATTTATCTTTTATAATTTAAATATAAAATTCATAAAAACAACCAATTTGCTGCTTGCGATGTTTTAACATGCTATGTCTTTTGCACGGATGTATGGATTTCAACATGAAAGGTACTTGTGCCCACGGAATATTTGGTTTTGGGGCTAATTAAAGCTGTGTTATTTAGAACTAACGAATGATTTCAATCAAGCACTTTTTCTACATGCTGGACACATACGCAGCCTTTGGCCCACCAAAAGTAAGTGTTCGTGACCTCGCATGGCCTATCATTAATGAGGTGAAATAGAGTAGAAAACATCTATGAGTTCTCGCCAGGGTTCTTGATATGTGTGAATTTCTCTGCTGATCCTGCCCACTGATGCTACCACTTCAATCATGCTTAAGAATGTTAATCCAGTTGTTCATTTTTAATGTCAGAGGACCGGATCGCGGTTGTTAAGAAAGGTGGTTGGAGATGTCCCTAGGCCATCTCTTCAGTTTCAGCTGGGTTAGTGGTCTTGTGGAAAACATAAAAGCATCAAAATTAACAAAAAAGTTAAAATTCAGATTAGATAACACAAGCCAAATCATGATGGTTAAGTCCAGTGGTTCGGAGGTCCCTGCCTTATCCATTTCATCAATATCAGTGGGTCAGTTGTCTTGGAAAAACACAAAAACATCAAAATTAAAAAAAATATATTAAAATTTAAATTAGTTAACACTGGATCGCGGTTAAATCTAGAGGTTGGGAGGACCCAGCCTTATCCATTTTGTCAGTTTCAGTTGGGTCAGATGTCTTGTAAAAACACAAAAACAACAAAATTTTAAAAAAATATATTAAAATTTAAATTAGTTAACACTGGATCGCGGTTAAATCTAGAGGTTGGGAGGACCCAGCCTTATCCATTTTGTCAGTTTCAGTTGGGTCAGTTGTCTTGAAAGAAAAAAAAACTTCAAAATTAAAAAAATTAAATTAAATTAAAACTCGTTAAAACTGGATCGCGGTTAAATCTAGGGGTTGGGAGGACCCNGCCTTATACATTTCGTCAGTTTCAGCTTTGTCATGTAAAAAATACAAAAACATAAAAATTTTAAAAAAATTTAAACTCGTTCACACTGGATCGCGGTTAAGTCCAAAGGTTGCGAGGTCCCAGCATTACCCATTTCGTCAGTTTCAGTTGGGTCAGTTGTCTCGTGAAAAAAAAAAAAAAATCAAAATTAAAAAATGTATTAAAATTTAAACTAGTTAATATCGGATGAAGGTGGTAAAAAGTCCAGAGATTGGTAGGGCCCAGCATTATTCATTTCGTTAGTTTCAGTTGGGTCAGTTGTTTTGTGAAAAACACACAAAAAAATCAAAATTTTAAATAAATTATTAAAATTTAAATTAGTTGACTCCGAACAGGATCGGGATGGTTAAGACCGGAGGTTGGATTATCCCGGCCTTAGCCTACTCGTCCGCCTTTTCGTAACCCTTCCAACACGTTCACCCAGTCCACAACCATCGTTTTGCCGATCTCGTCCTCTGTAAATTCAATTTTAATTCTATTTATCCTAGAAAACCCACGGGTTTCGAAATTTTGAATATGTTCAGGTTAAACTCGTGAATTATTTAATTGAAATTTTCTTTCCAATTAGCCTTATCCCTGATCGTTCTTTTCAATATATATCTGATTGGCAATTTTCACCGAATATTTATTATTGTTGATAAAAAAATACAAAACATTATATAAACAAGTTCTATAAACAAACAACATTTCGGGCTATTTATGGCGACGACCTGCCGGCATGCTTGTCTCAGCAAATTCAACGGTTTCTATCAAGAAAATGAAATATTTGGAAAATCAATTGTTTTTTAATGGGAAAAACGTTCTCACATTCTACTACGATTAAAATTAAAACTTTAGTATATAATTGTACTTCTGAGGTTAATTGTATGTCAGAAAGATTAAAGTTCTTACAGGTAAGATGCCGGCTGACGCTCTGTCGATGAAAAGCTCTGAAAAACCGTTTCTTCGACCTTCAAAATCCTTCCAGGCGGGATCAACAACTCCTGGTCGTATTAACCGAATCTTCGGATAGAATCCAAATCAAATTCGGCTCAGTGAAAATCACGGTTTTTTTGCAAGATGAAGCCAAGGGTTCTAACTAAGTCAAAAGTTAAGGCGTGAGTCGCGAAAAAGTAGACCGTTGGCCGCTCCCCACTAGCGCCACCCTTGCCGCGAAATTGCCCATAACACTAAAACAATTACATGTCATTCCTGAATCTATTTCAACGATTTTTGAACGTTTTATAAGAAAAAAAACGCGATTTATCATAATAAGAAAATGTATTCCTTTTTTCCCTGGCGCAATTGGAAATGTCCCGAGGCATCAAGACCGGTAAAATTGACTTAAAATACCATACAAATTTGAAACGAGCAAATTGTAAGCTAATCGATGTTCTGTCACCCGAATTATAAAATATTTATAAAAAACAATCTTTCCGATTTTATATCCCATAACTGCTAGTCAGAGTGTTAGTATTCGAGCTTTTAATTTTCAAAATACTTAATTTATTCTTAAATATTTTATTGAATTTCTATCGGTGAAAGTTATTGTATATAAACAAACACTGTGGCAGTGGCAACAATCCCCTCCAAAAAAAAAAAAGATTAGTCAGTAGTCTTTTTAAAAAGATAGTTCCTACACACAATTGTTTACATTGATCCGTATTTCCGGCTTGTAGCTCATAATCAAGTTGAAGGAATTTACAACCAAGTCTCTCTACATGAATTTTAAGAGTGACGGTTGTTCTGGATATATCTGTATTGATAATTGTTAACGATTATCTCTGCATTCCGTTTGAAAATGCACAAAAAAACTAATTAAATAAATATGACCGAGGATAGTGCTAGACATGGTGTATCAACTTCTATAGTCAACCCATTTATTTCGAAAACGATTAACTTTAGCAAAAAGTGGTCTTGTACAAACCCCAAGTTAATTTTGGCTAGGAATCGTTGTGGTAACAGATCTAACATTACTTTCTCATCTAGCTGGTAAATGACGCTAATTTTGTTATTTTACAAAGTACATTAGAATCCCATCTTTGTATTATACAATTCGATTCTAGAACTTATTTTATGTCATTTTTGCCGAATGTAAAAGTTTGATAGGATCGACTATTTCTAAGTTATGCCATATGGAAGGGGTGTGGGTGCTTTTTGCATCGAGATGGCACTGCCCGTTTATCTCGGACACGACTGGCATTAGCAAGTTAATTTAGGATAGGAATCGTCCCAGAATGGGGTAGGGATCATGGGGTTAGTTTTACGTTTCTTTTTAGAAAAAATATTTTTTAGAGTCCATTTTAGGGGGCGTCGGTGGCCGCAAGGGTTTAGGTAGGCCGTCCACTGGAGCCGTTTTCGGCCGAATAGGGCCGGATGATCCAAAAGCGAAGAAACGAATGAGCACGCGTCCATTAGAACCAATTCGTTCGGTCGTGTTGGGCCGTGTACGGCCGAAGCACTTTCTGATCCAAATAAAGTTGGATTTTCCAGTCCTATTCGGCCGAATGATTACTTCGACTTCAACTGTCAACCACGTGACATCAAACGCTCACCGTTGTTTAACGCCGTTCTTTGCTTTTTGCTTACCTTTTCGTTTCGTTTTCATTTCGATGGATTGCGAAAAATTGATAAGTGCGGTTGAGGAGCAGGCTCTTGGGACATGCGTGATCCACTCTATCACCGGATAGATGTCCAGCGTAAGCTGTGGTCAAGGATAGCTTTAGAAATGGAACTTCCAATATTTTTGTTTATTTCTTTCATACCATTTGTATGTAAACTAAGAATTTTCGATCAGCAACAAATGTACATTCATTTCGGCTGTGTCGTGAATTGACGAAAATCGGCTACAGTAGACGACGGCGTTCGGCTATATTGCCGGTCGTCCGTTTGGTCAAATAGTTCGGCTGTTGAACGGCCGTCGTAGTGCGGTTCCAATGGACGAGCAGCCTTAGGCGTTGTCACGGCGCTCATCACTGTAAGGTAAAGGTCTTGGCTTCGAATCCCGAATCCAAAGGGCCTGCATTCGAACCTTACATATTTACAAATGGGCTTTTTTCAAAAACACCGGCACCCCGAGTCCATTTTATTTTTACAATCACTCTCAGAAGTTATTATATACTGTTGTAGATTTTACCATTTATTAAAATTCACTAGTTTCGTGGTCCGCTTGACCAATTAATATATTTCAATTAATGAATTTATTGAAAATGGCAAAAAGGAGGGAAAATTCAAAAGGTGCGGTTGAGATGGGAAAGTGGTGTCCGAGTGGATCGAGGTCACGATAGCTCAAGTGGTAGAGCAACGGCGTATCTAGTCGAAGATCTTGGGTTCGAATCCCGCTCGTGACACTGGCTTTTTTATCTCAACTAAAAACCTTAATTAATTGTAAGATATTAATTGGTCAAGCAGACCACGAAACTAGTGGATTTAATAAGTTTAAAATGAAGTATACCTTCACTAAAGCTCTCCGTGGCCATTTCATTTGTCGCCGAGAATCAAATTGATTACACGACATATGAAAAATGGCAAAAAAAGAGGTGCGTCAGCTCTCATCTTGAGAATCAAAACGTCCGATAAGGCCGAATAGGCTAGGTGCGGACGTTAAAGATCCTCTTGTCTTGTTGACGATGAGTAAATCGGGAACGTAAGTACCAATTTTCTTTAAATGTCCGTTTAGTCTGCAGTGCCCTGTTAGGAATCCTGTTAGGATTCGCAGTCTGTTCCTGCTTCCTTTGACACATTCTGTGATTTCTTTCTTATCAAAATTGGTTAGAAGATTCTTGGATTGTTTGTGTCCAATGAGGGAATTGCATTGTTCATTTTCTTTTTGTCCTTCTGTCTGAGATATTCCTTAATAGTGTGGATTCCTATGCCACAGACGGGTTCAGGTCCTATTAGCGGTGTGGCAGCCCCTTTCCTTGCAAGGGTGTCCACTTTCTCGTTGCCTTCTACTCCCATGTGTCCTGGGACCCAGCAGAGGCTGACTTTATTCTGCATACGTAATATATTTAGTTTGGTTTTGCAGTTCAGCACCATCCTTGAACTAATGGTTTTTGAGCTTAGTGCTTTGATGGCTGCTTGGCTATCTATGGTAACCATCAAGAAATCGTAAGCAATCTGTAGAGAATAGACGCAGACCAGAAACAAGTATATCTCTCTTCTCGGAGCTTGTATACATTTTTGTTGGAAAGCAGAACCTGAAGTGAATACTCAGGCATATATTATTGTGCGATAGAATCCTAATGATTTCAAGAGGATTAACTTCAAGAAAATAACAAAAACAAAAATTGCAATAAGAGAGGTCATTGACGTTCGAAATTTAACTAGACGTAACAGAATATCTAAGCAATTATATTTTTAAAAACATATTTACAATTAGATGAGAAACCTAAAACAAAATGGGAGATAATGCCATAACTCGGTCAAAACAAGTGAGAACATATTTTTTGCTTACAAACGGGCATAACTCAGAAATGGTCGATCCTATCAAAACTTCAGTAAAAGTGGCATAAAATAAGCTATACAATGGAATTCTGCAATTAAAATATGGGATTCTTATTTAAAATAACAAAGTTAGTGTCATTTCCCAGCTAGACGAGAAAGTATGTTAAATCTGTTATCACTACGCGATTCCTAACCAAAATTAACTTGGGGTTTGTACAAGACCGTCTGTTGGTAAAGTTAATGGTTTACGAATTAAATGGATGGACTATAGAAGTCGACACACCCTGTACATTTCGCAAGAAAACTGTACGTTTGCACATCCACAATCAGCCTGGTCTATCTACGATCGCTGTATTTTGCGGATAGCAGGAGGGTCAAGGATAAAGTGAAAGACAGGAGTAAACTTTCTTTTTAATATAAGTTTTACCGGATAAGACGCCATTTTGTACAGTAAGTTGTCTTATTGCAGGAAAAGACGTCGTTTTGTATGACGATCTTGTTGTAGGTAAAGACGCCATTTTGTATGGCGAGTTTGTCCTGTTGCAACTAAAGTAGCCATTTTGTACTGCAAGTTGTCCTGTTGCAGGTAAAGACTTCATTTCGTATGGCGAGTTGTCCTGCGCCCGAAATGACGCCATTTTGAATGGAGAGTTCTCCAATTACTGGGAAAGACGCCATTTTGTATGGCGAGTGTCCTGCGCCCGAAATGACGCCAGTTTGAATGGAGAGTTCTCCAATTACTGGGAAAGACGCCATTTTGTAGAGCAAATTATCTTGTTCAGGAAAATTTGCCATGTTTGGCGAGTAAGCCTATTGCAGGAAATTACACCATTTTGAATGTAGATATTCAGATATCGTGAGATGCGGTCGGGTGTGATGTAGGTTTCAGAAAAACATTTTCTTTATCGTGCCAACGTTTCGATCTTTATTTGAGATCATCTTCAGGGCT